TCATAGAAAAGAGAAAATTATAAATGTTGAAATCCGTTTCTAATACATAACAGTCTAAAATTTATACAGCTAGGTTACAATGTTTTACTACATAGCGGTCAAACAAGTGTGTTATAATGCGAAATAATTACCATATTGTTTTATTTACAGCGGTATTAATAGAAGTATTTATTTGTTTACCAATTCAGCCTCAAGCAGTTTGTGGCAAAAAACGTGTCTTATATTGACAGTTATTTGCCAATGATGAACTTGCAACCATGGCAACCATGGACATAACCATTAAGACTTCGAGCGAGAGTAGAACAGTTCTTAAAACAGAATCCAAACAAGAGAGAATCTGCGTTTTATCGATATCTACAGAAAAAAAAGTCGCTCTGGCACAATATATGATCGGTGGATTGTGGTGAAGATTAAGTTGTGATGTTATGTAAGCCTTCCATAGTCCTAACGTGCAACTCACCGTTGACATCCAACACACAATGATATAAATCCAGTTGTCCATTCTCAACCAGATCAGTCACCAAGGATCACACAGAAGCGAAGAAAATCACTTAAGGAATGACTAGGTTTCAAGTCCTTCAAATAAAAGCATGAATGTAGTAGTTCATGGGGTTCCGCTTCGCGAGGTTGTTCCAGTAACAGATCCTTCGCAACCCTTGGTCTGAATCTGATCGCTGAACGTGTGACCCCGGGTACTGAGGGAGAGTGTTTGGCGACCAGGGATGGGGGAACAGAGATAGAAAGTGAGCGACTCCGTGACCCCACCCTGGTGATACAGATAATCTTTGACCTAGGGTGGACACGTACATCCCCGCTTCGGTTGTTCCCCTTCTTCACGGATACACCCAACATTAATATGACGTTCAAACATATCTTAAAACCATTGAATCCATTAAACTGACACGTGTTTTGCATCGTTTCTCTCTCCTGTATCCATGGAGGTATGTGTAACTATTTGCTGAAAAAGTGTTTTACTATAACTTGTCTTGAAGTTATTGAGAACGTAAGTAAGTAACGCAGATCAAATCGTTAGGAAATTACGCTAAAACCCAGCAGAAAAAGTAGAAGATCACTGATATCCTCCTATGTATTCTGTAGGCTTATAGAGACAGTGTGACCCCAGGAATATGGTCAAACCGGAACATGAGTCTCATTAACCTATTCAGACAATGACCTACTTTTCAGCGGATCCGAATTGTCTCGTGTGAAAGTGAAAATAGACACCACAAACAACTATGGCTACACTGAATTCCAATTTTTTTTCCTTGAATTTTAATTTTAAACTTTAATAACATCGTATTTCTATATGTTATGGCGAGGTGTAGGCAGCATGACCTTAACTAAGACGTCACAGACTGACCCAGTTTGGTGAGGTCGTAAAATGATTTACAATTCATCTGGCTCAATGGTTACACCTGTTATGTATTTTTGGTGCTTATTCAGTGTAGTTCTGTAACGCACAATGTGATTGATATAATATCAAGTCCGTACCAGACCAGCAAACTATTCTAGCGGCAGAGCCTCGTTTTGAGATTTCCACGATTTCCAGGTTTCTGTTTGTCAGTGCTCGCTGTACGACAGAGCACTCTGCACGACATGTTTGCAAGAATTATAAGGAGCGTAGTGTTGCAATATACAAGTGCTTAGATGTATCAAATAATACTGATTAATGTTTATGTATAAGTTGCGCAATAGGGCGGAACCCAGTCAACAGACTGTTGTGTAATAATGTTTTGACTTGTGGTGTTCCTTCTGTGTGAATGTGTACCCCGAGCTGACAGAGCGATAAGGTTTGATGTACTCTCTGTGTTTCTCTGTGTGCCCCCAGCCCACAGAATAATGTTTTGAATTACCCTCTGTGTGACCACGTACCCCCAGCTGACGGCATATGTCAAAACGTAACGTACCGTATGTCTGTATGAGCCCAAGAGGACATCTGCATAAGCATAACATGACATCTGTAAGAGGACATCTTATCGATCACCTGTAAGACCACAAGTGGTCGTCTGTAAGACAACGAGTAGGCATCTGTAAGACCACAAGTGGCCATCTGCATGAGCATAAGAGGTCATGTGTAAGACCACAAGAGGTCGTCTGTAAGACAACGAGTAGGCATCTGTAAGACCACAAGTGGCCATCTGCATGAGCATAAGAGGTCATGTGTAAGACCACAAGAGGTCGTCTGTAAGAGTACACATGCCCATCTCATGACGTCATCTGTCAGAGGACATATAATCGATCACCCGTAAGACCACAAAGTTCATCTGTCAGAGCACAAGATGTCATCTTTCAGGGCACATCCGTAAGAGTGGAAAATCTAACCCTCTACAGCCTCAGTTCAAACTGACGAGATGTTTTGTTAATCAAAGGTTAAGAATCACTTTACAGCGGGTTGGAGAAATGGTCGAACCTGAGGTTATGGAGAGTGAATAATTTCTAACGCCGAATCTCAGCACCAAATCCCAATGTTAGTCTGCTCTTATGTCACAAAACTGGGGTGCTGTTCTAACTGATATTCACAAGGGGCCTAATGCACTTAGGAATGGTCTCTAACATGAAGAGATGAAAAGAATATTTAGCACGCAGCAATTGTAGGAATATTCATTAATCTTTGGCGAAAGTAGAAAACAGTCGTCGCCTCCATTTTTTGTTTATCCTTGGCAAAGGTTTGGGAGCAGATATCGATTGCTGACCTTATTATCGAAATCATATGATGAAGTTGTTTAGGATCAATATGAATCTCAAGTTACACATTGACCCAACTATACAGCACCGTGATCAACAATCAGTTACGATTCTTGCATATTGAAGGTTGAGATGAATATTCTGAGTCAAAGTCTGCTGAAGGTAAATAGGTACATGGGCTCATTTAAACAGGGCATAACGTCAAACAGGTCTCGTTACAGAGCATAAGTTGAAGATTTTAAAAAGTCTCACAACAGGAAACACGGCACATGCGCGAAGATCAAATATGTCTTACTTCTGTGAAGTTAAAACATGTCTAACTACTGTGAAGATCGGGCATGTCCATGTACACGCCACAATGAGTAGATAGGTAGATCAGCAGATCACCCTGGCTTGCTGGATTATTCAGGCTCTGGGTGCATCTTGGCTTGTTGGTGAAATTCAGTATATGTTTTAAGCAATCGTGTTTCCCACGCTGTTATCTATAATCTACAAGTTTATGCGTTCTCCCATTACCGACAAAATGACACGGGCTACAGTTGGTTCACATTTTGCGTCAAGGAGCGATAAACAGAGTATATATACACCGTGGATACATTGTAGTTGGCTCAAGACCGTTCGAATTTAGAAAAAATAAAATTGGAAGATTATTATGAAATGTTTTGATTCATGAGTATGCCTGATTAGTAAGAGAGTAGTAGTCTCAGATCCATCACAGTCAGACATAATAATAATAATGATAATCTATTTACATAGCGACGAGTTTCAGTTAGGCTGCTCAGGCGCTTTGTTTTTCCCTCGACCATTGGATGCAAATCTCAACGGCACATCGTATTATCAATCTCAACTCCGTGGGATTATACAACTCTTGCAGCCGCTAGGCGCAACAAGCTTCCCATCCTTACGAGGTACCCATTCACAGCTGGGTGGACTGAGACACATAGCCACAGTACTTTGTCCAGGTTTACTGCACGTTACTGTACCCGCGACTATTATATTTAAGTTTGCACCTATTCATGTGGCCACGATCTGGTCATTTACCAACGGGTTCGTGGGTTCTTTTAAGTGCACAGTGTTGTGTACTGTACACAAGAGGTTGTGACAAGACTGAAAGAGTCCGCACACAAAGTTGACTGCAAGGTTTCCACAGATGGGATCGATCCTGACACCTCATGCTCGCTGGAACCCTAGCTTGGCTGGCACCTTAGACAGCTCGCCCACCACGCCACATGTTGAAGACACAATCAATGCCATTTAGAAAGGGGTCAGATGAAACATATGTTATTTGTGTGATTACATTTTTTCAGTAGAGTACAGATTATAGTATGTTTTATGGATTTGAACCATACTTTGGACCACTTGCTAAATAGCAGTGTGTACTCACAGCTTTCGGTCGTATGAGCCGTACCAATTTACACTTGTCAGAGGTGTACACAAACCACGTGATATAGACTACCAGCTGTCCGACTTCCATTTTTGTGGAAGCTTTTTTGTTTTTAATTCCATGAGTTAGTTTTGTGGTTGCTGATTAATGTAACATGTAACAACACATTCACCCATATCACATTGTCGAGACAATCGTCATTTGAAGCACACGTAAAATCTCTGTCTGCAGCCATATATTCATTGTGGGCTTCCGCAGGCTCCATTTTGCATAATCAATAAATTTCCGATCTTTTTCTGTGAGTACTTGGACAGGCGCGACATAGCTGTGCACAGTAGCGGGGAATGCACAGTAATGAAATAGTTGTACTTTAAAAGATGCTGGTTTCCTCGCAGTAATGCTGCTGGAATATAATTACATTAAGTATTAGCAGGGACACTATATAACGTTATACCCAGCCTCAAACACTCGCTTAACTTTTGATTTGCTCATGTAACTAATGAATGTATTATTCATTCACAAATAACATATCGTATCCTGTGATTTTATCACCATGAAAAATAGATTCTATTGGGTGCAAATAGCCTTTGAAACACGTTGTTTCCGAAATATTTAAATTTTGTATCATCATCACTGCGAAAGTCCTTTTCAAGAACACCGATCTAAAACAAAATTGAAATTATCACAATTTTGGCCTCCTTTGGCTGAAAATTATCCTGTCATGAAACAACACTAAAATTCTGGATTTCGTTCTGTGTTCGCCTTTAAATTTCACTCAATAAGTATAACAGAAATAAAAAACATACATAATACAAAAAAGTACATAGTGTATACCGTTGTTCTGGATTCGAACTCTCACAGACATCCATGCGACCGGTTTGAAAGCAGCCAATGAATTGTCAGTGAAAGGTTTAGAGTAACCTCCCTTTGACACACCGCTCCAAAGCAGGAAATTGAAAGTAGGATTCCAAGAAAGCCACATTTCCTGGAAAAGTTTGGGGATGATAAGCCTAGGCCTACAGTGACGTCATATCTGGGGTTTGCGGACTCCTTGTACAGATCTTTTATTGTCTTGAAATGTCACCGACAACAGTCTCGATGACACTGTTCCCGGATTGATAAACATAGCATTTCCAGTTAGCTCAGTATCCGGCTGTTGACATATATGTCTGGTTGAGGGTGTGACGTCTCCGCCTGCTACATCCAGGTACGTCTCTTAGTCTTATGATTCTGGAATATTTATTTATTCCATTACCAAATTTCCAAAGCTAAAACTGTCTAATCCATTAAACGCCTTTGAAAACTATGTCAAGAAGCACAGGATACACTCACACCCACTCCCTGGTCTTCTCATAGCATCCTAGTAATACCATAGCCCATACAATATCAGAAAATATGCATGTAGAATGGCATTGTTTGTTTTGCTGTTTGGAGGGTTATATGGATGTCACCTTCTTTATAATGAGGAACACAATGATCGGAGTGTATGCGTTTTCCTGCATCAGGTGAATCTTCTTTTCTAAGATGAGAACGTATTTTGTTTCGATCTGTCCTCGCGCTCCAAAACATTGTGTTCCTTATAATAAAGAAACTGACAGTGATAAAACTCTCTGCCCTAATGCCATATATGTTTTGAAGTGTGTTTCTCTCTGTGTCCGTCTTTGTAAATGTGGTACTGTAATCTTGTCTGGTGTAACAAAGCACGGTTAACCAGCTGATTACGTGAGAAGTGCTAGGGTATTATTACACAGTCATTATCTTGCATTCATGTCTCATTCTGGGGGGGTCACTGACTCACTGCCGAACAGAATGAATCATGAAGTAAATACCCGTTACATTTCAATCTTGCTTCATTCAAAGACTGTATGGTTGTCTGTCCCAGCATCAAGTACACGACACAAAACATGCAAAATGCTTAGTTAATGTTAAACTTAAACTGGATTGATGTTACATCTTTGCAGTCCTAGTGAAGATAAAACTGTCAACGTTTTCTCATGTCTGATTGCATGGAAGGCTGCATGGTGAAGTGAGATTACATGGCCTCCATTTCAGGAAACTGATGTCATTCATTATTTATGTTTGTCGTGAAACCAGTGTCAAGGAAGTTATGTTATGCAACAATACAGGTATGGAGTATGAATCACTGACATTAAGTAATTGGTTGTTTGTATGCCCTTGACACTTTGTTATCCCAGTTGATGCACATTCACATATTTTGTAAAGAAGTCATGTCTTGTACTTGATTGTCAAATGTATGACAGAGGTACAGATAAGCTGCGTTTCTGCATAAATGAATCAAATATTTATGTGAAAACTCAATTCCTATTAAGTCTATTGCGTACAAGTATGCTTGATATATTTGTAAATACTCAATAAATTTGATCTAACATGCGTACACACAAAAATGTCAAATCTTAGCTGGCGTAGTGTAGTATTCAGCAAACCTACTAGAATTTGAAGTAAGCAGACCCATGCGCTACAGATGGAGGTTACTGAGGATAGATAGAATAACTGAGGTATATTGTGAGGTTCTATTTCAGCACATGAACTTGGCAACTTGCAGTCTTTCTTATATTTTCTTATATTACAGATCAAATATAAATAACACACACGTAAACCAACATGTACACTTTATTATATTTTCACAAATAATGAAAAATGGCAAAATACCCAATTGAGTTTGAGTGACGTGAGTACAACTTATTTGGTTACTCAAAGGAAAATCAGGATACCCAATTGAGATGAACACAAGCGAGTACATAACTCAATGACCCAAAAAGTTATCTGTAGCTCTGGTATGATGTCCTGTTAAGAATACACAGGACGTAGGCTTTGCCATACCTTCACATTGATCCTGTTCCAATTGGCACAAGAGGGAAATAGCTGTCCAATGAAATTACTCTGAGCGAAAGACATTTTGTCGAGTGTTAGTAATTGGGAAAATGTGATGGAGACATCCCTGGTGAAGCACACCCACCCACGCTCCAATGCACCCACACAAGCATGCATATACACACCCACACATGTATCTGCACATTGACACACATACAAACACACTCGCACATGCACACACCCAAACATGCACCCACACATCAAGCACCCACACATGCACCCACACATCAATGCACACATCAAGCACCCACCCATGCACACCCTCACACATACGTCCACGCTCAGATTCACCCACACAAGCACACACTCACACACCCACAATGCTGCATACCCACACATGCACCTGCACACCAACGTACACCGTCACACTTCCTCACACATACGTCCACGCTCAGATTCACCCACACAAGCACACACTCACACACCCACAATGCTGCATACCCACACATGCACCTGAACACCAACCCACACCAACATACCCGTGAGCACACTCACACATGCACACCCACGCATGCACCTGCACCTGCACACCAACGTACACCAACGCACACGGAGAGCGGAAGGTCGCGGGTCAATCCCCGGTCACGTCATACCAAAAGACGTTAAATTATGTTACTTGTTGGTCCCTGCCTGGCACTCGGCATTAATCATGTTAATGGGTACGGCAAGGACTGGTCTGCTCGGAGTCTGTATAATGCATTGAGTAGAGTATTCATGCTTAACTGCAGCATGGTATCACAGTGAGCTAACACTATAAAACCAGTCTGGGCTAGTACAAGCATCCACACACACATGCATGCACGTTGTCATATGAGCGAAATGTTCTTAAGAACGATGTTAAACCCCACCTCACCTCACCTCACTTCAAACTACTGAGTTATTAGGACTGAAGACCCTTGAAGATCTGGTTCAGAATTGATCTTCAGTAACCCATGCTTGTCGTAAAAGGCGACTAATGGGATCGGGTGGTCAGACTCGCTGACCTGGTTGACACATGTCGTATCCCAATTGCGTAGATCGATGTTCATGCTGTTGATCACTGGATTGTCTGGTCCAGACTCGATTATTTACAGACGGCCATATAGCTGGAATATTGCTGAGTGTGGCGTAAAACTAAACTCACTCACTCACTATTAGGACTGAAATAGAGGATTTTTTCAAGTATGGCCTCATTTGTTTTGTTTATCCATCAAGTTAATGTTAAACGTGGCAGTCAGGGTTGGCATTGTGGCTGCTAATGTTCTGGTGTATATGCTGAAAATAATTAACTCCTCTTTATTTTCAGCTATGAGTTCCACAGCCTATTCTCAGCCTCTGCCAAACAGTGGTGTGAAGATTAACTTCTATGGTGGGATTCCATACTTGTTGATCCCAGATAAAGAACTCCCATTGTCCGTGGAGGAAATATGTGAGAAGGCTGCCAACTATGTCGCTTCCCTACTGCCGTCTTCTCCTGACACAGAAGACGGTGCTGTTGGTTACAGAATGGCTTCATTAACACTGCCGATGTTCTCCCTCATCAACCCCCATCACACTCAGTGGATGACAATGAGGGAGAAACTAAATAGGCATGATTTCCTGTACGAGTACTTCTTCAGAATACGGTTTCGATTTTTCACTTCAAATTTAAGGGATCTTGAGAAGTTAGACCGACAAACATGGGAGTACTTGTTCTGGCAGTTCCGAGATGACTTTGTTAACGATAGATTTCACAGCATGTACAACAAGGACCTTGAACGCCCTAAAGTTTTGGGTTTTGTTGTGATGGGGTATTTCATCCCTAAACTTACTACCATGGCACAAAACAGTCCAGTTCATGGCAGCACATATCGCCAGCTTCAGTCATCAAACAAGGTTCATCCTAGAGTTACAGTTTGTGGTCTCAAGAAACATTTACCACAGAGAGAGCGTCTCAGTTTCCGCTGGCCCTGGCCATATTATCGTTTATATCGGAGTGTGAAGGAGGAAGTTGGGATATTTGCAGGTTCCCATGGCAATATAGGCGTGGAGAGATACATGCAGACATATATGAATGGTGTTCTGGAGGAAGTGGCTAAATACGGATCAGAGTGTTACCTGGCAATAGAGCTTCTACAGACAAATCCAGACAGAACACAGGCTGTAGACATTGTCGTGGATCCATTCTGTTCCCGGCCACCGGGGATCTACTTTTATTTAGTATGTACTTTCATTCATGATCTGGACAAATATACATAAACAGAGGCTCTTGGATATTGTTCAGTTTTTTATTACAATTTCTTAATTTTAGTATATTCTACATGTTGTATCATGTTTTAAAGTGATCAGAATGATCTAGGCTAAATATAATGTTCGAAATATTTTCTTGCAAATTATTATTTGGAACTTTCACTTTTAGGCAGTTTGTCTCTATGCAGCAAATATTTGACAATTAATGTAAAGAATTAATGATTATTATTTCTGTTTGATGTTTGGCAGGAATTTGTGTGCAGATTTGAAGATGTTGAGAATCTGGTACTTGCCACATCCTCGGATCCAGCTTTTGGTGTGGAGGTTAGACTGATACGGAGGAATGGTGCCCCAAAGGTATATATTTCAGTTCCACTGTCAGAGGCACCTTTGTTGCTCAACTGTGTTGTCTCCATACACCGTGAGATAACAAAGATTCATACAACAAAACGGTAATAGAGACAGTGATAATGATTACAAATACTGGTGACAGTTTTCTTGGATAAATGGGGGAAAGCGGGTTGTCTATGTAAATGTGAAATTAGAAATAACTGTTATAGTAAACTTCAAGTAAAATCAGACCCATGAAGGTCCGAGTTAGAATGAACCTTCAGTGACCCATGCTTGTCGTAAGAGGCGACTAACGGGATCGGGTGGTCAGGCTCGCTGATTTGGTTGACATGTCATTGGTTCCCAATTGCGCGGATTGATGCTCATGTTGTTGATCCCTGGATTGTCTGGTCCAGACTCGATTATTTACAGACCACCGCCACATAGCTGGAATATTGCTGAGTGCAGCGTGAAACTAAACTCACTCACTCACTCAAGTAAAATCAAAGGCTGAAATTGTTTCTAGAATTAATACTTTTAAGATATCAGTTAACCATGTTCCACATGTAATATGTAGTTTGTACATCTATTAAGACAATGGACAGTTAAACTTGTAACTAGTGTTTTACAAGCCCCGGTAGCCTAAACTTGTTTAACAGGTTACATAACTTACAAGTCTGTAAATGACATTTTTAACAATAGCCCTTTTAAATTGTAAAAATATAATATGTGAGTCTAATTATCAAAACAATATGCGGACATTTGATCAATAATATGTTTTGTTTGATTGTTTAGATTCTGAGGTTCAAAGAGAGCAAGATGGCAGAATCATTTGTGTCCTGTGTGGATGGATACTGTCGTCTCCTGCACAACTTCTATGACAGCATTGCTACACAGGTGCTTGTGGAACCCCCCCTCACTCACCCTGCTCAGGGAACTCAAGGCTTTTGGACCAATGCTGTGAGTATACTACAGCCTACACTAAAACCAAATCATAGCAGTTCAGTTTCTTTCAGACTAGTCCAGAAGATAAGTCAAACCCTTACTTCACCCTCACTTCACTAATCCTCAGATTTGTAGCAAAATTGAAGCATTGAGAACTGGGTCAGAATTCTAGCCCTTTAGTGCTGCTGGTCCTTGATGATCATCTCTGGGTTTGTGCTGGTCCTGAACACATTTCAAAGACTGCATAACTCGACATTAATTGAAATAAGTGAAAGTTGATTTATCATCAGGTCAGCGGTCAGCAATAGTACAACTACATATAATAATAGCAAAATGGTTTTCATTCAGGTCAGTTTGATGAGGCTGTCAGTGTACAAAGCAACATTAGTTCTATGACTGGCGTATGTCTAATGTTAAAATAAAGTACACTAACCTTAGCACTAATATCACGTTATAGAATGTTTACATTATATGCTATGTTTTATACTGTGGAGTTAAACCCAACTCACTCACCTAATGAATCATTTCTCCTATCCATCTTGTACATGTCTCTCTTTTAAGTCTCAATTTTGCTCCTTCATTATGTTGATAGGACAGTAGATGCTGAGAGTAAGATGCAGAAGGAGTTATCTGCCTTTGACGATGATCTCAACCAGCGAGAGATGTGTTTCCTCATATACCAGAGTGTTCATAGTCTCACGGAGTTCTGGGTAATGAAGCAGGCTCGCAAGGAGGAATCGGCGGTGCACCTGCGATTGTCTTACAATCGGCAAACCCAGAAATTCACACTGTACAAAGATACAGGAGACATGATTTTTCAGACACCTGCAGATCTTCTGATGCATTTCAGGAAACAAGCCAATATGATCCGCCCCAAAACTGGTACGGTTGTTGTAAAACAGCAAGGTTCTACAGTATTGAACAAACTTTATTGATAGCAACTTGATACTGGTTCAACAATCTGTATCGAAACGTCGTACTCACAATATAAAGAAGTTGCTATCCATAAAGTTTGTTCAATATTCTCAACTTCTAAAATGCCTCTCAAACAAGCAAGATTAATTTGTATTGATTGTCCAAACTCAAACACTAATGTTGCCTTGCTCAGTGCTTCAGCCAGACAAGCACCATTGCGCCATTCACACTAAAAAATATGCAATAGCACTTTTATTCAATGCTAGAGCGCCCATTGGCACAACATTTAATATAATCCACAGGTCTTCTATAACATGGTTACCATGAATGGCAAAAGTCTCAACTGCATTGGCACACATTTTAGTAGTTAAGGTGCCAGTTGGCAACACTCAAAAAAATCCTGGCTGAAGCACTGATTGCTGTTCCAGTTGCATTACACTACTACATGCTATGCTGTCAAAGGCTGATTCGATACTGTGCAAGGCAGTTGGGTAGCCTAGTGGTTAAAGTGTTTGCTTACAGAAGCCAAACCTGGGTTCAGTTCCCCATTTAAGTCAGTATTTCTGGTGTCCACCACCATGATATTGCTGGAATATTGCTCAAAGCTGCGTAAAACCTTATTCATTCACACTAATACTGTGCTGCATTAGTTTCCTGTATAATGCAAGTTACAAATACAGTAGAGTGCAGTTGTAATGAACTCCAAAGGAACACTATCTAGACTGTAATAACTTCTTCGTTATGCAAATTTGGGCTAAAATAGAAAGCAAGTGCTTGGGACCGCCCAACCCCCCAGTTTGTTATATCTGTCAGTTAATTATTAGTGTTTTGGATATATACATGGTTTAATGTACTTAGAATCGTGTGTTTAATGTGGATAGCGTTCTATTGGGTCGTTCAGCAGTGGTCAACTGGATTCATTTATGGCTATGAGACATAGACCTGAAGTGAATTTATTCATCAAACTTAAAGAGGTTGGATACCTTTGTTTGTGCTGTATACCATATGCGATGTTATGTGACAGTAGGAGCGTGTATCAGTTATTTCCCTTTATCTTGCTTCTAATCATCCTTCTGCCACGCAAGCATTATCCTGAGGTAGGTAGGTAGGTAGATAAGGTTTTAGGGCGACCTTGGGCCTTAAAAGGCCTATATGCGCCCAACACTTAAGAAATTGTTATATTTTTGTTCAGTTAAATTACGTCGTACTTATTACGTCGTTTTAATGAGGAAGTGTAATACAGCTCTTTGTATGCAACCATACATTAATTATCGCCAAGTATTGCGTTCATTGTAAAAGTATTTTTGGTTTTGTTAAGCACAGTTTCTTTAAGAGCCTATCCTGAAGTAAACCTGGGCAAGAGTTATCTCCCGTTATCAAATTTAGTTTGGGTATGCTGTTTTAATTGAAGATAATGTTGATACCCTCTGGTAACATATTTTTTATATTTTTTAATATTAATCTAGTGTGAATTTACTATATAAAAAATCATTTAAAAAAATAAATGTTGTTATTATAAACATCTTTTTTTCATTGATGAATCAATATTTTTTATAAATTCCTATTTTTTTAGAAGTTAATTAATGTGTCAAATTATACTGCCTTGAAAATTGATTGTCCTGCTTTATTTCATATCAGTACTGAAATATATTTATGAAAAAAACACATATTTAATAATAAAAGTAAACAATTTAATTTTGAAAGAACTTTTATTGACATATTACTTTTTACAGACGATGCAACAAGGGGCGCCACTTGTCAAACAAATGCTGTGGTGACTTGCTATTTTCATTACATAATTAGTTTCGGGACACTTTTTTCTGCAAAATGATAACAAATTTAGCAATTTCTTGACATTTTGATATTTTGTATCCAACCTCCTTAAGCAATGGCTATTGTATCTCCAATAATAGTATAGATATGATGGATATTTGATGGAGGACTAATCCAGAAACCATGTTATCGGCATAGAATTAAAGTAATTCTGTACAATGATACAACCCAAAAAAGATACAGAACTATATTTACAATCTTCAACCAATATTTATGGTATTTATTTGGAGGATCGGTAGGGATCATTCAGTATGCGTCCAAAAAGGCAAAGAAAACATAGTGCGTACCAGGGAATAAGTGTCTACTTTAAGATTATTAGGGTACTAGTAATTCAAGGTCACTTGCATCTTACTTAATTGTGATCATGTGTACGTAATGTGAGCATCTAAGATGTATCATACAATAATACACACAAATTTTGATATGCACAACTACTTGTATTAATTAGACCAGTGAAGATCCGGGGTAGAATAGGTCTTCAGCAACCCATGCTTGCCACAAAAGGCAACTATGCCTGTCGTAAGAGGCAACTTACAGGATCGAGTGGTCAGACTCGCTGACTTGGTTGACATATGTCATTGGTTCCAAGTTGCGCAGATCGATGCTCATGCTGTTGATCACTGGATTGTCTGGTCCAGACTTGATTATTTACAGACCGCCACCATATAACTGGAATATTGCTGAGTGTGGCGTAAAACTGAAATCACTCACCCACTCACTTGTTTTTATTATAGAATGCAGCATCTCCGAGCTGTACCACAGTGATGACATTGACTACTACTGCTCCACCAACACGGCCCCTACCGCGTCCACCTCGAGGAAGGAGCCGTCACTGTTTGGAGTTGAAATATTTCAAGAGGATTTCAAGATTGTTGGTAGGTCCACTTCATCACAAGAAAAGATATTGAGGATGTTACACAGTGTTACACAGAATCACACTCATTCATTTCTGTGTACCCTTCAGCTTCATGTCACCATGGTAACAGATTTGCGTACACTTTCAGTTCTCCACAATAGCTCCTTTTCTTCAAGGGCTGTAACGATGCATCAAACTATCGATGGATTGCAGTTGTTGAGTCTCCGATAGCAGTTAATTGATGGTAGAAACAAAAAACTATTGATGCATCGATAGTATGTGTGACTATCGATAGTTTAGTAACAGACGTCCGTTGATAAATGCGCAACACAAAATACAGGATGTTTGGGTGCAGACTTGCAGCCTCATTGAGTTTGTTTTAACTGTTTACTTGATCAAGTTTCTTGTCAGTTATTAAAAGAGACTGAAACTACATCAACTTGTTTTTATTTCATATAAACTATACATTCATTTGGGAAATGACTTCAAATGAGAAAATTCAAGGGGGAAAAAACCAGTTACAATAGTATTGCAATAGTTGTGTGCAATAGACTATCGCTATCGCAATAGTATGTCGCAATAGTTGTTTCCCCCTCAATAGTCACCCCTAGTTTGCATTTCAGCTTGTTTTCATTAAAGAGAAAAAACTCCAACTTTGAAAATGTTGAAAAATTGATTGGTTGTTTCTTACAATATAATATTTTTAAATTTCTATAGCGTATCGGGATATCATAACCTGTGTCAACTCTCAACTGATTACCTATGATTGTTTCAACTGTTTCATATCAGTGCCTCGTTGGTCAGCAGTGATAGCACATTGGATTTCTATGTTAATGATATCCATGGTCCTTTAAAGAATTCAATATAGTCAGTCAATCAACATGTTATCTTCTAATCCTTTGAAACAAGTAGTTTGTTTTTACACAGATGCCTAGATGTGGGTGTATTTCCATCTGCTTTACTAAACCTACATATATAAACACTTTTGACAAATTCACTGTGTAAGTTAATACTGATTATTCCATCAAGATTTGATTGAAGTTGTTTTTTGCAACTCAGCTGGCCATTACATAACATGTAATACTTTCACCACATCAAACCTTATTCTTAGATTGAATAATTACACCAGACATGAGAAGAACCAAACACGAACTGGAACATTTGTCATTGGCCCTGTATAGAGGCATAGATGAGATCAGATCCTGGTACTTTAAACTTGTCTATCACAGGAGCCTGCCAACACACATTTGTCATTGGCCCCGTATAGAGGCATAGATGAGATCAGATCCTGGTACTTTAAACTAGTCTATCACTGGAGCCTGCCAACACACATTTGTCATTGGCCCCGTATAGATGCATAGATGAGATCAGATCCTGGTACTATAAACTTGTCTATCACTGGAGCCTGCCAACACACATTTGTCATTGGCCCCGTATAGAGGCATAGATGAGATCAGATCCTGGTACTTTAAACTTGTCTATCACTGGAGCCTGCCAACACACATTTGTCATTGGCCCCGTATAGAGGCATAGATGAGATCAGATCCTGGTACTTTAAACTTGTCTATCACTGGAGCCTGCCAACACACATTTGTCATTGGCCCCGTATAGATGCATAGATGAGATCAGATCCTGATACTATAAACTTGTCTATCACTGGAGCCTGCCAACACACATTTGTCATTGGCCCCATAGATGAGATCAGATAGAGGCATAGATGAGATCAGATCCTGATACTATAAACTTGTCTATCACTGGAGCCTGCCAACACACATTTGTCATTGGCCCATAGATGCATAGATGAGATCAGATCCTGGTACTTTAAACTTGTCTATCACTGGAGCCTGCCAACACACATTTGTCATTGGCCCGAGATAGAGGCATAGATGAGATCAGATCCTGGTACTTTAAACTTGTCTATCACTGGAGCCTGCCAACACACATTTGTCATTGGCCCCGTATAGAGGCATAGATGAGATCAGATCCTGATACTATAAACTTGTCTATCACTGGAGCCTGCCAACACACATTTGTCATTGGCCCCGTATAGATGCATAGATGAGATCAGATCCTGATACTATAAACTTGTCTATCACTGGAGCCTGCCAACACACATTTGTCATTGGCCCCGTATAGAGGCATAGATGAGATCAGATCCTGATACTATAAACTTGTCTATCACTGGAGCCTGCCAACACACATTTGTCATTGGCCCCGTATAGAGGCATAGATGAGATCAGATCCTGGGCCCTGTTTCACAAAGCTCTCGTAAGCCTTATACCTCATAACCTTTCTCGTAGTATTCATACTTCCTATACTGTAACTTTTACTTACGATAGTCAAAGCGCTACGAGAGCTTTGTGAAACGGGGCCCTGGTTCTTTGAACTTGTTCATCACTGGAGCCTGCTGAACCGATGGCCTTGTTGCACTGAGTGACCTGTGTGTGCCATTATACCAGACAACATGACAGGTACTCATACTATCCTCCACTGGTTCCTCCATCCATCTAGTCAACAATGGATTGTGTATAGGTGAGAGAGCATCCTTGTAGCCATATTCCATTTACAGGGTGGCAGGCCATAAATTCGAATCAAATGCAGGCCTTCACTATTCATGCAAATACATTGCCCATTATGTTTCTCTCCCGCCCAATTTTTCTTACTACACCAGTTTAATATTACCAGTCCGACTTGACCTCCATTCACTGGCTGACTGACCTGATGTTACAGGGCGGGGCAAGTTCACCCAGGTGTCAGAGGGGATGCTGTACGACGATGACAAGGATGAGAAAGTCACCATTAAAGAACTCATACTTGTTGAACGGCACAAGAGTGAGGTTGGTATAGCATCTGTTCCATCTGAGTCGTGGAGAATAGTCAGTTGTATGTCCCTGTGAACACAGGAGAATAGTCATGTATTATCTTCCTGTGAACCTAGGAGAATGGTCAGTTGTATGTACCTGTGAACACAGGAGAATAGTCAGTTGTATGTACCTGTGAACACAGGAGAATAGTCAGTTGTATGTACCTGTGAACCTAGGAGAATAGTTAGTTGTATGTACCTGTGAACACAGGAGAATAGTCAGGTGTATGTACCTGTGAACCTAGGAGAATAGTTAGTTGTATGTACCTGTGAACACAGGAGAATAGTCAGTTGTATGTACCTGTGAACCTAGGAGAATAGTCAGGTGTATGTACCTGTGAACACAGGAGAATAGTCAGTTGTATGTACCTGTGAACACAGGAGAATAGTCAGTTGTATGTACCTGTGAACACAGGAGAATAGTTAGTTGTATGTCCCTGTGAACCTAGGAGAATAGTTAGTTGTATGTACCTGTGAACACAGGAGAATAGTCAGTTGTTAGTACCTGTGAACCTAGGAGAATAGTCAGTTGTATGTACCTGTGAACACAGGAGAATAGTCAGTTGTATGTACCTGTGAACACAGGAGAATAGTCAGTTGTTAGTACCTGTGAACACAGGAGAATAGTCAGTTGTTAGTACCTGTGAACACAGGAGAATGGTCAGTTGTATGTACCTGTGAACACAGGAGAATAGTCAGTTGTATGTCCCTGTGAACCTAGGAGAATAGTTAGTTGTATGTACCTGTGAACACAGGAGAATAGTCAGTTGTTAGTACCTGTGAACACAGGAGAATAGTCAGGTGTATGTCCCTGTGAACCTAGGAGAATAGTCAGTTGTATGTACCTGTGAACACAGGAGAATAGTCAGTTGTATGTCCCTGTGAACCTAGGAGAATAGTCAGGTGTATGTACCTGTGAACCTAGGAGAATAGTCAGTTGTATGTCCCTGTGAACACAGGAGAATAGTCAGTTGTATGTACCTGTGAACCTAGGAGAATAGTCAGTTGTATGTACCTGTGAACCTAGGAGAATAGTCAGTTGTATGTACCTGTGAACACAGGAGAATAGTCAGTTGTATGTACCTGTGAACACAGGAGAATGGTCAGTTGTATGTACCTGTGAACACAGGAGAATAGTCAGTTGTATGTACCTGTGAACACAGGAGAATAGTCAGTTGTATGTACCTGTGAACACAGGAGAATAGTCAGTTGTATGTACCTGTGAACACAGGAGAATAGTCAGTTGTTAGTACCTGTGAACACAGGAGAATGGTCAGGTGTATGTACCTGTGAACCTAGGAGAATAGTCAGTTGTATGTCCCTGTGAACCTAGGAGTCATTTGTATATACCTGTAATAACACTTTTTCTCTCAGATTTGTCTGATGCTTGTTATCTTCTGCACATCCAGGACTTCCAGCAGGGTGTGTGGAAACTCATGCAGTTGGAGCACCACAAGACGTTTGTAAAGCTGCACGGTGTGTTGATGGCGCCGCCATTCAGAGTCATCCTGGAGCATGCTCCCATGGGTGACCTGCTGACACTGCTGAGGCGCTCATCCATGCCGTTCAGTCTCGTCCAGATCATCTCTGTTGTTGAGCAGCTGACGCAAGGACTCAAGGCCATGGTAGGATGATCCACTTCCTGACTACACTGTAATATTCTTGGGGATCACAGGGTTTTGATATAAGGTTCCGGTCAGACGGTTGGTGACCTACCTTAATAATCTTGGTGGGTGATGGACTGGTGTTCTATGCTCTGGTCAGATACGCAGCCACTTGGTGACCGACCTTAATAATCTTGGTTGGTGGTGGACTTGGGATTAAGGCTCTGGTCAGATACACAGCCACTTGTTGACCGACCTTAATAATCTTGTGGGTTGCCAGACTGAATTGAAACCATGGATGTTTTCTTGATACTGTCATTAAACAATATATCACATGACTAGCCATTGTTATGGGTAGTCCTTTTGGTACTTGAGTCGGTTAGTTCCTGGGAAGCAGAATAGTTTAAACACAGAGGTCAGATTGGAGGGATTATCGCCAAGAATCAGTGGTTGCTGACAATAGGCGGTCAATGTGATTACAAACAAGTTGTGTGATATGAAAGAGTGAAAAAATGAAAAACAAGTGATATTGTGTTGTAGACATCAACACACGAATAAATATCTCCATGAGAAGTGGGAATGAACTTTTTAGTTGAATTGTTGTAACTGGGCATGAGCCATTGTGGAAATGAAAGAACTTGTTGCCATTTGAAGATACATTTATGATGTTTTGGTGATATCAGTCAATTAACATGAGTGAGCAAATTAATCAGCCATCACTCACATTCAGTCATCAAAAGCGAACTCAGACAGTTCTAGTGAACATAACCCAGTAAATTCAAACTCAGTCAATTACAAATTTAATGAGCAAGTTAGGTGAGGTGAAATGGGGTTTACGCTGTACTTCGAATATTTCGTTCATATGATGATGTGCATGTGTATGTGTGCTGCTTGTACTAGCCCAGACTTAAGCTGGTTTTATAGTGCTAGCTCACTGAGATACCATGCCACAGTGAAGCATGAATACCCCACTCAGACACAGTATACTGACTCCGAGCCGACCAGTCCTTGTTGTACCCATTAATGCCTAGTGCCAGGCAGGGACCAACAAGTACCATATTTTAAGGACGGGGATCGAACCAATGAGCAAATTAAACAATGATCACTGTTGATAATGAATAATAATGTGAAATATGATTATAATAATATGAAAATATGTTATTTCCATATTGCAGTGAATATAACTCAGTTACTCATAACTCAAACTCAGCTGGGCGGTGCGATGGCCTTGGGGTTAAAGCGTCTGCTCGTTACGCTGAAGACCCGAATTTTGAATCCCCACATGGGTACAGTGTGTGAAGCCCATGTCTGGTGTCCCCCGCGATGATATTCCTGGAATATTGCTAAATGCAGCGTAAAACCCAACTCACTCACTCACTCACTCAAACTCAGCTCACACCAATCAAATCCCATTTCGCTTCACATCCCAGACTTTTTTCATCCCTTAAAATCACATTATCACCACATCAAATAGATTATACTGAAACTACCCATTCTGCTCCCCAGTAATAACCCCTTGAGTCCTACTTAAAACCAACACTAGCGAAGTACCAAAGTTAGCTGTCGTTACCCTATCAACCTCGTCTAATCTGCTCTATGTACCAAAGTGGAACCTCAAATCATTTGGCTACAGGTCTTACCAGAACATGGCATCTATCAAATGGAATTCCCTCATTGATGACCTTAAGCTGTCTCCAACCCTTGAAAACTTTAAGCGTCACCTCAAAACCTTTCTCTACAAAAAGTTCTATGGACTTCAATAATGCCTTATTGATTGTTAGTGCTATGAGCATACCTGGTGTGAAGTTTGGCGCTATATAAATGGACACATTATTTTTATCCCCCGCAAAGTTTTTTGCGGGGGGTATTAAAATGGACTCCGTCCGTGCGTCCGTCGGTCCGTGCACATTGGTCTTTTCCGGAGCAGAACTCTAAAACCGTTCAATATTTCTTCACCAAACTTGGCATGTAGATAGATCTCGTGGTGTACTGGTGCCTTTTGGTATTTTTGGAATTCTGAATAACATATTTTTGGCATTTCCATGGCAACAAGTTTGACTTAGCCTGAAATTGGTGATAGTGCTCCTTTCTGGAGCAGAACTTTAAAAACCTTTCAATACTCTCCTTCCACTTTTCTATATACACACCTAAACATTTGACATAATCATAACTCGTAGACATAATCATGAAGAGTACTTAGCCATGGCGGGGATATTGATGACTTTGTCTTCTTGTTATTATTATTATCACTGCCTATGAGGTGAAATTTTTGTATAATTACCAGGAGAATGGGGATCACCATATGCACGGGGTAGAACATCTCATATTACAGGTGATGTCAGATGGCATCTAATAGCCACTGATTTTGTTTTAACAGTAAAACTAGACTATTTGAGAACTATTTTGATGTATAAGCTTCCACTCTGTGTGAATTCTCGTTTAGGCTATAAATAAGTTTAAATGAACCTCACCTTGGTAATGATTGCCCAGGGAGGTGAAACCAGTCTCTGCCACTGGAGAGCTAGAAGTAAGGATTTCTCAGATTTACAGACACATAACAGTTCATTTTACATGTATATTTCTACTTATTTGTTTATATTTTTGGATTGCAATAAACATTTAATAAGCAAAAACTGTAATGAATAATGAAATTACATTTTCATAACATCCCCAATTAGTTGCCCTTATGACTTAACATGTGATAATGTGTGAACCTGAAATCAGTTCATTCGACCAAGCATCAATTAAAGAAACTTTGGGACGCTAACATGTTTTTATTACAAATGTAGGGATCCTGTAATAGTCAGATGTTAGCTTGGATTTCGAAAGTTTGTTCAAGGGGGGTCACCTTATACATGGGTCTCTTTGTACACGGAGATGTACTCACAGTACATTCACTTGGTGTGTTTTCAGGAAGAGAAACATATCTTTCACGGCAACCTTCGGTGTCGGAACATTTTGGTGATGAACGTGACAGCCCTTGACCTGCTTGTGAGGATCAGTGACCCGGGGATGGAAGCTTATTATGTCAGCAATGCCATCAGTGACGAACATAACAGTGAGAACAGAAAGAGAACGGTCAGTCAACAGTGAACGATAGAGTTATGTAGAGCTTATGTTAACAATGCTATCAGTGAGGAACAGCAAAAAGAGAGCGGTCAGTCAACAGTGAACATATAGAATTATGTTAGCAATGCTCTCATGTAGAGTTATGTTAGCAATGCTATCAGTGAGGAACAGAAAAGAGAACGGTCAGTCAACAGTGAACATGTAGAGTTTATGTCAACAATGCTATCAGTGAGGAACAGAAAAGAGAACGGTCAGTCAACAGTGAACATGTAGAGTTTATGTCAGCAATGCTATCAGTGAGGAACAGAAAAGAGAACGGTCAGTCAACAGTGAACATGTAGAGTTTATGTTAGCAATGCTATCAGTGATATCAGTGAGGAACAGAACAGAGAACGGTCAGTCAACAGTGAACATATAGAGTTATGTTAGCAATGCTATCAGTGAGGAACAGAACAGAGAATGGTCAGTCAACAGTGAACATATAGAGTTTGTGTTAGCAATGCTATCAGTGAGGAACAGAACAGAGAACGGTCAGTCAACAGTGAATACATACAGCTGAATATTCCTGAACAGCTATCCCTCTAAAGTTCTCAGTGCATGAAAATATAATAAAAGCAAACATCAGACTTTTCATGCACATGTACAAGATAAATACGTCAAGATAAATACGTCAGTGTATTAGTCGTAAAAAAAAAGCAATAGAAACTTTCACCACACGCTCAGAAATACAATACATACTACACACAAACCTAAAGTTCCATGTGACCACAAACAAATATCTAAATAACCTTACCAGAGCCTTGTTACTAATTCTGCAAAAACCTCACAGAGTGGGTATGATGTTTTGATTATGATCAGCGTTTCATTGAGTATTTTATGTTTATTAGTTTTCGAGCTAGATTGCAATTCATCGATCCGCTTTTGAGCCAAACGGACTATAGCACAAGTGTAGCTATTTTACTTTCATTAATGTATATTCCGCTTCAAATGATGAATACAATCTATTGTGTATTGAACCTTGTAAAACAGTTGAGCTTCTGTTCCTTAAAGAAGGGTTTCCCTTTCTTTCCATCTTTCTTCAAAACTCTCCAAGTGATTGAACTTCTTTAGCTTGACATACAGCTGAATATTCCTGAACAGCTATCCCTCTAAAGTTCTCAGTGCATGAAAATATGATAAAAGCAAACATCAGACTTTTCATGCCAACCTGCAAACTTAGTGCAAATATTTGAACTTTTTGCTCTTGTTAACCATGGCGGAAAATTTGTCAGTGATGTGAGTATGGAGTAACTTCTAACAGAAAACATTGTCATGTAGAAAGAATCTGTAAGCATTTGCAAAGACTGTTCAAAGTCGCGATAACATGTAAACAATGTTTCAAAAAAAAGACTGAATGCGATATTTGTAAAAAATTGTATTTTCCACCAAACATGTTATCTTAGTATGATCACGCTAAATATATGCATGATGTGTAAGAATTACATGCATATTGTCTCCCATTTGGTATAATTTCACTCTTCAGGGGTTGTGAGCTTTCTGCATATCAGGTGACATGTCCTCCTCAAGAAAATATTATATATAAGTAGGTGTAATGCTGCAGCCTGAGATGGAGGTGTGTAAACACCTGGCTCCCTGCTAGCATTACAATAAACCCAGCTTCTACAAAGAGTGTAATGACACTGTCCGAAGTTATTTTCAAACACCAACTAAAGTGACAAAAAAGCACAAGAAGAATAGCTACAATGTTTAATGGGTACGCAAAACCACAAGCACATGTACAAGATAAATATGTCAGTGTGTTAGTAAAACAAAGACCAATAGAAACTTTCACCACACTTTCAGAAATACAATACATACTATGCATAAACCTAAAGTACCATGGGAGCACAAACAAATATCTAAATAACCTTACCAGAGCCTTGTTACTAATTCTTCGCCAAATTAAAAAGTCCACACACACCCTGAGGCAAAACCCACATGGCCATGGTGAAGCTTCACAGCAGAAGGTCCGTCACCATCCCTCTCCCACCGAACACTGCCGCTTTCCTTACCCACTTCCCCATGCATGGATCACACAGACCACACCGACCAATCAGCACCTTGGTCTGTCACGCACATCTCTTGTGATTACAGTCCATTTCAAATTATCAGCACATGCATTCTGACAACTTCACAAGTCGGGTCTATAAACCGTTTCACACATCATAGCTCGTGAGTCGTTACATAGGGACATTGCAATAGTTGCTGTGATGAGAAACATTCAGAATTAGAAGGTTTTCATTTGACTGACAGTGCTGCAGTTGAGTATAATTCACTGGGGTAAACAATGATGTGTCATGTGTACTGTTTATGTGCTAGTTCACCAAGCTAGCATAACGAACACACCTTGTATGATTCCAAAATTGGTTCAAAATCATACTTACTGTAGAATCGTTTGCCCCAAATTATATTTTGTTCTGGAAGCTACATATTTTTCCTTATCCTGACTCATACTTATTGCTTTATCTTCCTTCCGTCGAAGGTTTAGTTGTCCCTATGTTCCCAAGAACAGTCAAACATTTACTCACCCAAACTGGACCCTTTGCCTCCTTTCCCGCCATAGTTCCATGTGACCAGCAGCCGTTATGTCACTCTCTCCATAATCAGCCCCCACTAAGCTTACAGGGAGGCCAGATAGTGGTGAGAGGGGACGGTTGGAAGGGCCCTTAGAATGTGAGTCAGAATTAGTATAAAGTATCAATTTTATCACAAAAATTACTTTTGTGACGAATTTAATGTGTATAGCTCTTTAACAAACTTAGAAAACTCTTCACAACATTTTTTTCATCCTTCATATATAAGATGTTTTATAAACTTTGATTGCTGTAACCTGTTCCTTTCTTTCAGACTTCCGTGGGTTGCAGTGGAGAGATTTGACAATCTCAAGAAACTTGATTTGGCATCTGAGATTTACTCCTTCGCAATGACATGGTGGGAGATGCTGGCGAAGGGAACCCATCCCAATGAGGCCATTAACCTACCACCTGATGCAACATGGGTAAGCTACCTTTCCATGGGCAAAGTATATCCCCAGTATGGACTCCATGTGTCTCTGTATGGATACTACACAGAGTACGTCCCCACTACACCATGCTTTGCCTCCTGTTGAAATTCAGTGCTGAGGGAATCCAGGCAGAGTATGTCCCCTCTATCCCATGTTCCTAACTAACTGAGGGAAAGTGCATTAGAGTTAGGGCTGGGATGATTCAACGAAGCACCGATACATCGCGATAAATGTAAGTTTGATACAGCTATCGTATCGTCGACTGGTGTATCGTTATAAAACGACACACGACTTTTTTTCAAAACAGTATTATCGCAGGTAAAATATTGTGATACGTATTGTATCGTGACATAGTGTATCGTCCCAGCCCTAATTAGAGGTCACCAATATTTATCTCAAATATAATGAAATATTCAGATTATAAACCAGCATTTTGTCAGTATGTTGAGTGTGATCTAGGCAATAAGTGTTTGTATGATTCTCTTCATCTTTAATATCAAAATATTTTCCTACTTTCAGAAAACCTATGTTGACTTTTTCAAGGAGGGCAACCGCCCCCCTCGCCCTGAGTCTGTGACTGCCTCTGAAGATGACCCTGCAAGTGAGTGCAAGGATGGGATCTGGAAGTACATTGAGCTGTGTTGGGACACAGACCCTGAAAACAGACCCTCCTCGAAGGATATCTCCAGGAAAGTTTACGAATGTATGTATATTACACTTCTTGTCATCAGCATGTTCAGGGCTGCATCTTGTAAGTAGGACTTCAGGGCAGTATGTTCAGGGCAGACATGTTGCAAGCAGTACCTCAGGGCAGTATGTTCAGGGCAGACATGTTGCAAGTAGGACTTCAGGGCAGTATGTTCAGGGCTGCATGTTGCAAGCAGTACCTCAGGGCAGTATGTTCAGGGCTGCATGTTGCAAGCAGTACCTCAGGGCAGTATGTTCAGGGCTGCATGTTGCAAGCAGTACCTCAGGGCAGTATGTTCAGGGCAGACATGTTGCAAGCAGTACCTCAGGGCAGTATGTTCAGGGCTGCATGTTGCAAGCAGTACCTCAGGGCAGTATGTTCAGGGCTGCATGTTGCAAGCAGTACCTCAGGGCAGTATGTTCAGGGCTGAATCTTGCAAGCAGTACCTCAGGGCAGTATGTTCAGGGCTGGCATGTTGCAAGTAAGACTTCAGGGCAGTATATTCAGGGCAGGCATGTTGCAAGTAGCACTTATGGGCAGTATGTTCAGGGCAGACATGTTGCAAGTAGGACTTCAGGGCAGTATGTTCAGGGCAGACATGTTGCAAGCAGTACCTCAGGGCAGTATGTTCAGGGCAGACATGTTGCAAGTAGGACTTCAGGGCAGTATGTTCAGGGCTGCATCTTGCAAGCAGTACCTCAGGGCAGTATGTTCAGGGCTGCATGTTGCAAGCAGTACCTCAGGGCAGTATGTTCAGGGCTGCATGTTGCAAGCAGTACCTCAGGGCAGTATGTTCAGGGCAGGCATGTTGCAAGCAGTACTTCAGGGCAGTATGTTCAGGGCTGCTTGTTGCAAGCAGTACCTCAGGGCAGTATGTTCAGGGCAGGCATGTTGCAAGTAGGACTTCAGGGCAGTATGTTCTGGGCAGACATGTTGCAAGCAGTACCTCAGGACAGTATGTTCAGGGCTGCATGTTGCAAGCAGTACCTCAGGGCAGTATGTTCAGGGCAGACATGTTGCAAGCAGTACCTCAGGGCAGTATGTTCAGGGCTGCATGTTGCAAGCAGTACCTCAGGGCAGTATGTTCAGGGCTGCATGTTGCAAGCAGTACCTCAGGGCAGTATGTTCAGGGCTGAATCTTGCAAGCAGTACCTCAGGGCAGTATGTTCAGGGCTGGCATGTTGCAAGTAGGACTTCAGGGCAGTATATTCAGGGCAGGCATGTTGCAAGTAGCACTTATGGGCAGTATGTTCAGGGCAGACATGTTGCAAGTAGGGCTTCAGGGCAGACATGTTGCAAGTAGGACTTCAGGGCAGACATGTTGCAAGTAGGACTTCAGGGCAGTATATTCAGGGCAGGCATGTTGCAAGTAGGACTTTGGGGCAGGCATGTTGCAAGTAGGACTTTGGGGCATGCATGTTGCAAGTAGCACTTATGGGCAGTATGTTCAGGGCAGACATGTTGCAAGTAGGACTTCAGGGCAGACATGTTGCAAGTAGGACTTCAGGGCAGGCATGTTGCAAGTAGCACTTATGGGCAGTATGTTCAGGGCAGACATGTTGCAAGTAGGACTTCAGGGCAGACATGTTGCAAGTAGGACTTCAGGGCAGGCATGTTGCAAGTAGGACTTCAGGGCAGGCATGTTGCAAGTGGGAGCAATAAGTATGTTGAGGCAAGGATATTGCAAGTACTGGCAAACAAGGATAGTTGAGCACCGAGCTGCCAATTGACCCGTTTTAGCATGTATGACTGTATTGTGAGCAAAGGGCCCCAGGTTGTTCGCGATCAAGTGTAGTGCTGCACCAACCATGCGAGAGTCTTATGAGCAAGGCACCCGCAGAATCAATTTCATCTTCATGCACTGCACGTGAACTAGCCTACTTCTGCTCTACCTTTCACAAACCAAATGGGTTTGCTCATTGCTGTGCACCGCCTACTACTCGTAAACGCGTTCTCTGCGCCAGTCCATCTTATCCTTGTTTGCCAGGAGGACCATATGTATGTTCAAGACAGGGATGTTTACTTTCTGGAAAATTGAAATGAATTGTCATTGTGTCCTGTGTAACATTGTATTGACATGTGGTTGTGTCCAGTGTGTGACATTGTTATAACATGGTTTTGTCCAGTGTGTGAAATTGTAATGATATGTGGTTGTGACCAGTGTGTGACATTGTAATGACATGTGGTTGTGTCCAGTGTGTGACATTGTAATGATATGTGGTTGTGACCAGTGTGTGACATTGTAATGACATGTGGTTGTGTCCAGTGTGTGACATTGTAATGACATGTGGTTGTGTCCAGTGTGTGACATTGTAATGATATGTGGTTGTGACCAGTGTGTGACATTGTAATGATATGTGGTTGTGTCTAGTGTGTGACATTGTAATGATATGTGGTTGTGTCTAGTGTGTGACATTGTAATGATATGTGGTTGTGTCCAGTGTGTGACATTGTAATGACAGTGTGTGACATTGTAATGATATAATGACGTATGTGGTTGTGACCAGTGTGTGACATGATATGTGGTTGTGTCTAGTGTGTGACATTGTAATGACATTGTGTCCAGTGTGACATTGTAATGACATTGTAATGATGATGTGGTTGTGTCCAGTGTGTGACATTGTAATGATATCTTGTGTCCAGTGTGTGAAATTGTAATGACATGTGGTTGTGTCCAGTGTGTGACATTGTAATGACATTTGGTTGTGTCAAGTGTGTGACATTGTAATGATGTGTGGTTGTGTCTAGTGTGTGACATTGTAATGATGTGTGGTTGTGTCCAGTGTGTGACATTGTAATGACAAGTGGTTGTGTCTAATGTGTGACATTGTAATGACAAGTTGTTGTGTCTAGTATGTGACATTGTAATGACAAGGTGTTGTGTCTAGTGTGTGACATTTTAATGACATGTGGTTGTGTCCAGTATGTGACATTGTAATGACATGTGGTTGTGTCTAGTGTGTGACATTGTAATGACGTGGTTGTGTCCAGTGTGTGACATTGTAATGACATGTGGTTGTGTCCAGTGTGTGACATTGTAATGACATGTGGTTGTGTCTAATGTGTTACATTTTAATGACATGTGGTTGTGTCTAGTGTGTGACATTGTAATGATGTGGTTGTGTCCAGTGTGTGACATTGTAATGACGTGGTTGTGTCCAGTGTGTGACATTTAAATGACATGTGGTTGTGTCTAGTGTGTGACATTGTAATGACATGTGGTTGTGTCTATTGTGTGACATTGTAATGACATGTGGTTGTGTCCAGTGTGTGACATTTAAATGACGTGGTTGTGTCTAGTGTGTTGCATTTTAATGACATGTGGTTGTGTCTAGTGTGTGACATTTAAATGACATGTGGTTGTGTCTAGTGTGTTGCATTTTAATGACATGTGGTTGTGTCTAGTGTGTTGCATTTTAATGACATGTGGTTGTGTCTAGTGTGTTGCATTTTAATGACATGTGGTTGTGTCTAGTGTGTTGCATTTTAATGACATGTGGTTGTGTCTAGTGTGTGACATTGTAATGACATGTGGTTGTGTCTAGTGTGTGACATTGTAATGACATGTTGTTGTGTCTAGTGTGTGACCAAGTCCGGGAACAGGAGCAGTACCCAGACATCCCCACATGGGAAAAGCTGGTGAAGGATTGGAAGGAGCGCAGTCATCCAGAACAGGGACCAGAGGAGAGTGTTCTAGGTAAGCTTCATCGTCTCCACTGTGTCGGATTGCCAGGCCCATCACTGAGATCATTGCTGGTTCTACGTGTGTCGTGTTTAGTCCTAGTTCAGGACCAGCTTGTTAAGACAATAATGTACCTTATTTCCTGTAGAGTTTGAAATACAGAGGTCATGGCAGCTGCAAGAACACTTGTGTAAAGAGCTTTTGATGTAATGTGGAATGGTTTCAATGTCATATCTTCGTTATTATATTAAGTTGTCATCCATAAAGTATTGTACCTTTCTTTTTAATCAACTCCTAAAATGCCAGTTAAGCAGAAGATTGTTAACAGTTGTGATTTTCTAAACTGTAATCATGATAAGTGCTTTTTACTGAATAAGAGCTTTAAAGACTTTTGAGTGAATGTGTGAATGTAATTTAATTCGATATATTGCCAAGACTCGTATTACAGACTTGCCTGTCCTTACGATTTTGGAGTAAGCCTTACTATACTTGGTGCTAAATTACGACCTTACGATCATACTGAAATTCCTTACGACTTTTACAAATAAATTGTAGAATACTAGATATAGGCATGCCCATGCTATTTACAGAATCATTTACAGTACGGAAAGTGCTGAAAAACAGAAATCACATCATAAACATTATAAATGAATAATCTTTGTATCTTACAGTGCTGGTAAACTTTATTTCAAAGTGAAAGACTTTTATAACGTGAATTAGATCAGCACCACATTTGACTATTAAATACTATATTAATCAGCTTTGTTTTTCCTTTATTTCTTGACATTAACATCCCTTACTATCAATACACCTGCCTTACTATTTTTTTAGCTGATCTTACTATTTTCTTTAACATGGGGTAGGCAAGTCTGGTATTAGACCCAAACATCCTATATTGATCACCACAGGCCACAGTGATCATCCAGCTGTAGAAGGCATGACTGGCACATGTATCTATGATGCTGCATTTTGTTGAGTTTCATCCCACTGGCACACGTAAATCCTATGGGTATGGGTTTGATTCCCAGATCGTCCCTGATCACATGTGATGGTTTGTCAGCCGGTCAGTCGGTGTCCTGTTCTCGGTGTTTAAGATATTAAGTGGTGGATGTCCAATGCCTGCATCATTTCGGTCTTTGCAGCTCAACTAAGATGAAAACAAAAACAATCTCTTTCCGATAGGTTTGTTTTGGAGCCAGTTTTAAAGAGGTGTTAATGTATGTGTCCTCCATGCTTCAGTCGCAGACACTGGCGACACTGTCATCCACTCCGAGAGCCTGGAGGTTGATGAAACTGAGAAAGGGCATCTGGGTGCCGTAAGTGATTTTTGTGTGTAATTGTCTTATCTGCTTGTCATTCTGTCCACCTTCTGTAGACAAGGACCACGCCCCTTTGTCTCTCACAGTTATGTGATAACTAGCACAAGTGTAGCTGTTTTACTTTCATTAATGTATATTCCGCTTCAAATGATGAATAAAATCTATTGCGTATTGAACCTTGTAAAACAGTTGAGCTTCTGTTCCTTAAAGAAGGGTTTCCCTTTCTTTCCATCTTTCTTCAGGGGCCGTGGGGTAGCCTAGTGGTTAAAGCGTTGGCTCGTCACGCCGATGACCCGGGTTTGATTCCCCACATGGGCACAATGTGTTAAGCCCATTTCTGGTGTCCCCCGCCGTGATATTGCTGGAATATTGCTAAAAGCGGCGTAAAACTAAACTCAGTCAGTCAGTCAGTCCATCTTTAAAACCCTCCAAGTGATTGAACTTCTTTCGCTTGACATCGAACCATAATTGTAACTGACATGCTTTTCACAAATGTGGGATATTGCTGTGTGTTGTGTTAAGCAGGAATATTGTTAATACTAGGGTTGGGTATTGCCAAAATTTGTATATTGCGATATATTGTGATATGTGTTGACATATTGCAATATGTATTGCAATATATTGTTAAAGTCTAACACATGGTTTAGCTCTTTCAACACCAGTCAACCAGAGGCTTTTACTGCCATGAAACCGAGTTCCCAGAGACTCTGAGGTCATCGATGAGGCCTATGTTTATCAAGGAAAATGTCAGCTTGTAAAACATTATTGCTACTACATGTCATGCACCATTTGAACGGCCTAATCCTAACATATTTATAAATATGAAAGTTATTTTTTATCATATTATTCAAATAATACAACTACAGTTTAAGTAAGTTAATTTTTTATGATAATGTAATCTTACACATTATAATGTCCAGATAAACCACTGAGCAAGCAAAAAATATGGCGATTTTTTTCCATTTGTAACATGTCATAATATCCCCTTACCTTTTTCTTTTATGTTTTCACTTTTACGAAATCTGAAAATTATTATAAAAAGATTTCTGAAATAATATGTATGGTCTGCTATTTCCCAGTAACATGACACAACAGCGGGAAATACCTCTGTTTTTAAGGTTTTATGAATAACACAGCATAATAGGAGTTTTCTCGCAGTATATATTTTAGCATTAAACATCGAGTAAGAGCTTGAAGTTCGAGGCAACGAAAGCCGAGATATAACTTCATGATCGCACACTAAAAGATGGAAAATAGTGACTTATAATGTATGTTTGACAACTTTTATGAGTACTGTTGTTGATATTATTCTTTGGTTTATTCAATTTGTTTAATTATTTCCTCGAAACATCATTACTTTGCTCTTTGACAACTTTGATGTGGACCTGTTGCCTAAGCATGTGTCCGAGAATCTTATTTATTTTTTCAATAACATTGCTAAAAATAGTTTATAAGTCTAATTCTGTCGATAATATAAGTTCAGTTGAAATGTAATCAGTGTTTTCAGACATTGTGAAAAGTGATAGATTTAATAAATGAATCATATGTTAGGTAGGTTCCTAAAATTATATGAAGCCCATTTCTGGTCTCCCCCGCCATGATATTGCTGGAATATTGCTGAGAGTGGCGTAAAACCATACTCAGTCAGTCCTTAAATTATATACCATTTTGATGTGCCTACTGACAGGCCGGTTTACCGGCCTTTTGGTGTCTGGGGACTTGTGACGTCTTGGCCGGTTTTCCGGCCTTTGGTGTTGAATGGGTTTACTAAGGTAATGAATGTTTTCCTTTCTATTGAAACAAGGCCAATAGCCACTGTCAGGATTCAGATGTGATTGACCAATAAACATTCTCAAAACTATTAATATATAATAATATTAAGGAAATTAAAATCTTATTAGCATTTTTAACTACATCATGAAAATTACCGATTATGGTCACGGAAATTGCCGATCGAATCAGGTGAACCAGTTGGCGAAAAGTGTACCACAATATATTGTATTGTTCAGTCCGAATTGCAATATACTGGTTAATCGGTATTATCGCCCACTCCTAGTTAATGCGTGTGACTGACTGATCTCTATATCAACAGGGCTTCTATGGGATGGTGAGGAAGGCCAAGCTGTATGAGAAAACCTGCAATAAGAGTCAGAAGCCACTCAACTTTAAATTTGTTGCTGTCAAAGAAATGAAGAAATTTTCTTCTGCAACCCACAAATTGGACTTCATGCAAGAAATTCAGATTGCATCTAAGCTGTCTCACAAAAATATTGTGCTCATAGAAGGAGTTTGTAGCTCACGTATGTATCTCCCACAGTCAACTGTAACACATTCTTTGGTATCTACTCACTCTGAAACAAACAAGGTGGAGGTGCATAGAGAATACTACACGAGGTCTCATTACATACGAATTATACGAAACGAGTGTCCTTCCTATGGTATCTGACCGAGCAAAACCGAGGTCAGATACCATAGGAAGGTCACGAGTTTCGTATCATTCGTATGTAATGAGACCGAGTGTAGTATTTTATTTATTACCCACGTCTTACATGCATTAAATTGACAGAATAGCGTATATTATATTTTTATGGTTTCAAACCGAAACCGGTTTCATAAAGAGGTTGCAGAAGAGTTTTGTACTGTAGTACAATATTTGCATGACGTCACACTGTAATGACGTCACTGCCTTGGTAACCGACGTCCCGATGCATGTCAGTTGTCATCGCCTCGTACCGCCTCCCACAGTAAACTACTCCGTAGCACCCCGTTTCTTGGTTTCCAGTTGCTTCATTCGGCTAACATCACTGGTGGAAACATTGCGTTTATGTTTTTCGACGGATATAATGTCTCAGTTTCGACTCACAATTAAACAGCGACACGGCAACATTTGCAATGTTTACATTCCCACAATGCATTTAAGTTGTAGAATGACTGAATTCACTTGTTAGTTATGAATGAAAGAATAGTTACGTCAGAATGTGACCTAATTGAGAGGTCATTGGTTATCCAATCAAATTGTTAGAATCTCAGGTCAAGTCGTTACGACACAGGTCAACGTGATACGACACTCGTGTGACGTACGAGATTAGTATGCAACTACCCATATGTTGACCATGTGGGTAATGAAAAAAGGTATCAAATTTACGGAATGTACAATGGTACAAGCATCTCAAGTAGCTGCATGCAGATGATGTCCACTTATCAGGGCCTCCTTTCACAAGCCCTAAGGTGATCGTAAGTCACTAAGGTAACCTTAGTGCAGTGTTAAAGAATGGGTGTTAAGGTTAACCTTAGTAAAGGTTGCTTCATGAAAGGAGCCCCTGGTCAGTAACTTTAGGCTGTGACTTGGAGCAAGTGTACACCATCTTGATTGTTTGGGCTAGTGTTGGATTTGTTGATCCTGTTGTTGAAATGAGGTGTGCTGTACAAGGCTAATTGCTTTGTGTCTGCAGAGATACATATGTTGAAACTGGAGGCTTCCTTTCACTGAGTTTTACCAGTTTGAGGCATGCCCTGGCTTAAAAAAGTTAAAGAAATTGGATTTCAGGCGCAGACTTTTGAAACAATAGTATAGTGGGAAGGGCCACAGTACGAACGTATTCCTTGATAAACTTGATCAGATTTATCTAGTCTCGGTTTGCTGGTAAGTTTGTGTAAACGGTTTTCAATCAGAGAGTAACATTACATTGTTAAATAAAACAGCTGTTCCAGTTTGATGTCTGAATGTTTTTAAGTCCGGGGACAGATCTAGTTCTACAGTACTGTGTAGTCGTGTTTTCTCCAGAACAACACATGCCTGATATATGCCTGTTGTGTGTGTGTAGCCAAACAGCTGCTGGTCATGGAGTTTGTGGAACGCGGAGCTCTCAGCACCTATCTCCACTCGTTGAGGAACGGTCATCCCAACCCAATAACACTCTGCAACTTTACTGTAGATGTTGCCGAGGTAAGATTTTGTAGGAGATGGAACTTGATTTGGGAGTTGTTACTGGAATTTGTACTCATGTAAAAATTGCATCTCTAGCATACTGCTTCACTGATCTATTAGCTCTAAGAATCAGTTTTATTTTCCCCTCCCCAAATAGTGTTGCAGGTGTTTAAGTGAACTGGTTCCTTTGCTATTTTGGGGTTTTGACTGACTGACTGAGTTTGGTTTTACGCCGCTTTTAGCAATATTCCAGCAACATCATGGCGGGGAACACCAGAAATGGGCTTCACTCATTGTACCCTTGTGGGGATTCGAACCCGGGTCTTCGGCGTGACGAGCCAATGCTTTAACCACTAGGCTACCCCACCACCCCTTGGGGTTTTCAATCTTCACATAATTCGTTTGTGTTAATATGTAACAATTTAGTCTTGTTCTTTCTTTTAAAATTGTTTCGAAAACAATGGATTTTTGTTCCTTAAAATAGATCCGATATTTAGTTAATTGTTTAATATCATTTATGCAGGATGTTTCTTTATCCCCCAACACAAAGTGTGAGGAGGATATAGGCTTGAGGTCCGTCCACCGATCCCGCCTTCCGAGATGATGGGGACAGATTTTCTCAAAAACTGTTATACATAGGGAAAACAAATTTGGTTTGTGTTTTCAGGACATGAATGTCTTGACGGAGTTCGAAAATGGAAATCGTGTTACAATTTGTTGCAGAGTTATGGCCTTGTTATGCGTTTCTTGACTTAGTGCATGGTATTCCCCATGGGGACAGCTTTTCTCAAAATCTGTTCAAGATAGGGAAACCAAATATGGTATGTAGTTTTAGGACACAAATGCCTTGACCGTGTTCGAAAACGGAAACCGTGTTACTATTCTTTACCGAGAACACTGTGACGGGGGATATTGATGGCCATGTCTTCTTGTTTATTTTAGCACTGACAGAAACTTCTTTTGAGTGGCTTTGTTCATTTTTCACTTTTTAACAGTTCACTATATCCAAGCAACAGTATAATGGCAGTGTTTTTAACATAACTCAGTAACACACTAAGCGTTTCATTGTAACAACATTTTACTGGGAGATACGTAAGGTCTCAGAAATTGCTTCACAAAATGTGATCAGAGTTGGTATGAATGTTCATGACCTTAAACATGAACAATTGTAGTCTCCCTGACAACTAAAAGCTCACTCTAGTTAATCTTTTCGCAAGCTGATGCACCTGGTGAATAAAAATACTTGGCAATATTTGTTGTTATCATTGCTGTAATTTTGTCCATAATATTTAGGTGAAGTGAGGTGAAATTGGGTTTAACGTGGTGCTTGAGAATATTTCACTCATATGACGACGTGCATGCGTGTGTATGTGTATGTGCGGCTGCTTGTACTAGCCCAGACTGAAGCTGGTTTTATAGTGCTAACCCACTGAGATACCATGCCGCAGTGAAGCATGAATACCCCACTCAGACACATTATACTGACTCCGAGCCGACCAGTCCTTGTTGTACCCATTAATGCCGAGCGCCAGGCAGGGACCAACAAGTACCATATTTTAACGTCTTTTTGGTATGACAGGTCGGGGATCGAACCCGCAACCTTCCGCTCTCCGGGCGGACGCTCTAACCAGTACACCACGGAGGCGGTCTCCATAATATTTAGCCCGATATAGGTGAAATGTACTTACTGATACAGTCTTGTATGTAGCATTTGGAAAGTAAATGATGCAAATGTTCACTTGATTAAAGCCAGGTTGACTTTTCTTATACATACCTTGATGAAACGTTAATGGATTGCAGGGCATGAAATATCTCCACTCTAAGAAGATTGTTCACCGAGACCTTGCTGCCCGCAACATTCTCCTGACCCAAGACAAGACAGCTAAAATTACTGACTTCGGTTTGTCTCGGCTTCTCAAAGAGAAGGATTACTACAAGGGATCCATGGAAAAACCACTGCCTGTACATTGGTAGGTATCTGTTACACACACTGTCTGTACATTGGTAGGTGTCTTTTACACACATTGCCTGTACATTGGTAGGTATCTGTTACACACATTGCCTGTACATTGGTAGGTATCTGTTACACACACTGCCTGTACATTGGTAGGGATCTGTTACACACATTGCCTGTACATTGGTAGGGATCTGTTACACTCATTGCTTGTACATTGGTAGGTATCTGTTACACACATTGCCTGTACATTGGTAGGGATATTTTACACACACTGTCAGTACAGTGGTAGGGATCTGTTACACACATTGCCTGTACATTGGTAGGTATCTGTTACACACACTGTCTGTACAGTGGTAGGGATCTGTTACACACATTGCATGTACATAGGTAGGGATCTGTTACACACATTGCCTGTACATTGGTAGGGATCTGTTACACACATTGCCTGTACATTTGTAAGTGTCTGTTACACACACTGTCTGTACATTGGTAGGTATCTGTTACACACATTGCCTGTACATTGGTAGGGATCTGTTACACACATTGCCTGTACATTGGTAGGTGTGTGTTACACACATTGCCTGTACATTGGTAAGTATCTGTTACACACACTGTCTGTACATTGGTAGGTATCTGTTACACACATTGCCTGTACATTGGTAGGTATCTGTTACACACATTGCCTGTACATTGGTAAGTGTCTGTTACACACACTGTCAGTACATTGGTAGGTATCTGTTACACACACTGTCTGTACATTGGTAGGTATCTGTTACACACATTGCCTGTACATTGGTAGGGATCTGTTACACACATTGCCTGTACATTGGTAGGTATCTGTTACACACATTGCCTGTACATTGGTAAGTGTCTGTTACACACATTGCCTGTACATTGGTAGGTATCTGTTACACACATTGCCTGTACATTGGTAGGGATCTGTTACACACATTGCCTGTACATTGGTAGGTATCTGTTACACACATTGCCTGTACATTGGTAGGTATCTGTTACACACATTGCCTGTACATTGGTAGGTATCTGTTACACACACTGTCTGTACATTGGTAGGTATCTGTTACACACATTGCCTGTACATTGGTAGGGATCTGTTACACACATTGCCTGTACATTGGTAGGTATCTGTTACACACATTGCCTGTACATTGGTAAGTGCCTGTGCATTGGTAGGGATCTGTTACACACATTGCTTGTACATTGGTATTGATCTCACTCAGTCACTCACTCACTCACTCACTGTGTATGTCAGGTGTTCCCCCGAGGCTCTAAGTCATCGTCGGTTCAGCACAAAGGGCGATGTGTGGAGCTACGGCATCCTCCTGTGGGAGATCTTCAGCCTGGGAAAGAAGCCTCATCTGGTGGAAAGTGATGAAAAGATTATCATGCAAAACCTGTTCTTGAGCATGCAGAAACATAAGAGATTGGAAGAACCTGCTCATTGTGTTGATGGCTTCTACCAGTTGATGAAGGACAAGTGCTGGCAGTTTGAAGCAGACTTAAGGCCAGATTTTGATGAAATTGTAAAAATGGTGTATGAACTCCGAAGAAATTGTGAAGAATCTAGCAGAAGGCTGGCATAAGAGACATGCCTGTTATAGACAGCTCTTCCATGAACGAGTGTTCAAGCTTCAAAATTATTGAGATGTTAAAATTGGATTTATGCAAATATCTGTCATAAGCTGTGTGTGCCCTTTCTTGCATTCAAAAGATTGTGTGAAGCACTGGATAGTTTCCATGATGCTTAAGTTACTGGCACCAAGAGGCACAGTAACGATTGTGTTGAGATCAACTTCGTTCCTGTAGCCATGTCTTCCATCTTACAGCAGGTGATGTAGTCACACGACAGGCGGTCACGTGACAGGCGGTCACATGGTATCTGGAGAACTAGCCTTAGAGAAACAGGAATCCACACTGATTCATCCAAATTCTAGATAGGCTGCATAATTAGTGTGAATATGGAAGAAAAATTATTACACAGTTTGATTTAGTTTTTTCCTTGTCTCCTGGTGGTACCGGTATGTATTTAAGAGTTTGAAGATAGGAAAGCAGGATATGATTCAGATTGTGGCACCAGGGCCTAGTCTGAAACAAAAGGAACTTGATTTGTGATATTGTTTTGTTATTTTATGTTGAGTAACTTCTGTTTTGCCACATGTCCTTGAATCTTTCCATCCTTCCTCACTTGCTCACAAATTGATTGTACTTGTGGCGCATGCTAAAGTTGTTTTGTGATTCAAGGTGTCTCACCCCAGTCAACCAGTAGAGCTGTTATTCAATCAGTTGTATTATCATCAGTTTGTGATAACTATTTTTAACATGTATAGTGCTTCTGCAATTTGCAGTTATTTGTTTATTGGTTAGTAATACAATGTGTCTGTTGGTCTTGCATTGAAGACCAGGCCCCGATTTCCAAAGTTTTTACTCAAATTTCAAACTGAGTTTGACAATTTGAAACAGGTGAATTTTTAACTCAACTGCATTTTTGAAATAAGAAAGCCCAAACAACTTAAGTAATCCATCCACCAAACTCAAATTGTCTAGTATGTTTTAGTTTAAAATCAATTTCAGTTCATTCTGCTAAATGCATTTTCTCCTGTTGAGTAAAACCTCGAACTTAAGTCAAAACCATTGACTTAAGTTTGTTTCCAGAAATCGGTGCCTTTTTTAATTTGATTTTGTATATTTGTTATTAGATGCCACACTAAGCAATATTATAGTTATATGCCGGTGGTCTGTAGAAAAAGTAGGAAACTGAGCCTGGACCAGTGGTTGATGCCATGAGCATCAATGGGATTGGGATATAATACCACATATTAAACAAATCTGACCAGCCAATCTAATTGGTATTCCATACAAGCGTGGGTTGCAGAAGACCAATTCTGACCTGGATCTTCAGGCATCACATAATGTAAGTGGTCTGACATCAGTTATCTGCGTCACGTTGGGCATTATGTTCACAACGTGATGTGAGTGAATGCTGTTTTCTGCAACAGTCCACCAATATCACTCCACTATGAGGTGTGTATTGTGTTTGAAGGAAGGTATGGTTCCAGCTTTATCAGTGATGACAAAATATGTTATCAGTTTATCATTATCTAAACCGTTTTTGTGAGAAAGGGGGCAGTGTACTTTTGTTTTATCGTCAAACTCATACTGTCTGAATGTTTTATTGTTGAGAGCTTCTGATCAATGAGAAACAATGTACTGCTGTCAGACTGACTCAGCCTGTCTGAATGTCAGATTGTTGAGAACTGTTGTACTGTCGTTAAGCTAACTCACCCTTTCAGATTGTTCTCATGTGTAGACAAGTGTCTAATGTCCCGCTCTCAATTTGTTTTCATTTAAGATCCAAGGTCACATCTCGTTAGCTGAGACATCTTATGTTAAGATATGATAGTGTCCATGCCATATATGTTTTGAAAAGCTATTTCAAGTTAGATATGTATTTTAAACCTTTTTCAAGTTAGATATGTATTGTATAAATATTTATTGTTGGATATGTTTGTATAGTTGTTGTTTGTTAGAAATTTACAATGTTATGTTTTCAGCACTGGTCCATCCAAATATAATGATTGCATGTTGCTGCACCTTATTGAATGTGATATAATGGAATTGTTTAATGTTTCTCTAAGATCAATACTCTGCAGCTGGGTTACTGCTTCATGCATCTGCTTGCTGTGAATCTATACATATCACATGTCCCCATCAGGGGCTGAACCATAGCATGTCCTCCATGTTATTTGGCGAGACCATCAGGTCATGAGATGACTCAACTCGATTATGTAGGGAGACCGTCAGGTCATGAGATGACTGAACTCGATTATATAGGGAGACCATCAGGTCAAGAGATGATGCAACTTGATTATATAGGGAGACCATCAGGTCATGAGATGACTCAAGATGAGAGTCGCTATATGGCTGAAATAATGCCAGTGTAACTCACTCACTCAAGCACTCACAAGAGGAAAGTTGTTTGTTTTTTCCTTGCCTATGTATATTTGCCAACTAAACTGAGAAATAATTTGCCTTACTTCGCCAAAAGAGAATATGTACTTTATTGCAAAGACTACTTTCATCTTATGTATCAGCATATAACCAAGGAGTTGATGCAAATACCAGCCTCTAACCTTTATTTGTACATGTGAAACCTTGCACTAATGCCCTCGATTACAGCATTATAATGACAGTTATATACAGTGGGACTACATCAAATGTCAAACACAGTAGTTTGTCAATATTATTTATACTTTGTCTTGTCTATTATTTTTCTGTGGGATTGGGGTTGTTTTTTCTCTTCAAAGGACAAAGCATCTACATGATATGAAAGAAATACTTCAATTTAATCATGGATTCAAAGCACTTGTTACAGTTTTGTCAGTGGGGATGAGGGCATGTTGATATGATGTTCCTGGTTACCTAGTGAGCAACAGTCTCCAACCCTGCTGCAACAAGGCCCTGTACTGTTAAACTGACGGGTTGCCTGTAAAATGGGGATGAGGGCATGTTGATGGGATGTTGATGGTGACCTAGTGAGCAACAGTCTCCAACCCTGCTGCAACAAGGCCCTGTACTGTTAAACTGACAGGTTGCCTGTAAAACATGTCAAAATATTCAGCAGGCAGTTATTATATATCCAGTTATTATATATCCAGTTATTCTACCTTTACGATTCAGGAATCAAATGATGAGAAATTTAAGATGCATTTGTTTATCACTTTCTTCCAGTATGAAATAGTTGATTGTAATTACATGTGGTTTAATACTGAAATGTAAGCTTATGACCTTTTGTCACACCAAGGGATTAAGGTTCAAGTGCATGGAGAGAACTTAGGCTTGACATTGCTGGTGCTAGATATATTTGAGCTAATAAACATACTACTCTTGACAAAACTGTCTTCGATTGTTTCTTTTATGTCACAACCTACGCAGGTACAGAATAGTGCCTAGTGTCGGATAATAGTCCAAATAGAAAATTGAATTCTGGGACTCATGAAGGTCCAGGTTAGAATGAACCTTCAGTAACCCGTGCTTGTCGTAAGAGGCGACTAAGGGGATTGGTTGGTCAGGCTCGCTGGCTTGGTTAACACATGTCATCGGTTCCCAATTGCGCAGATCAATGCTCATGCTGTTGATCACTGGATTGTCTGATCCAGACTCGATTATTTACTGACCACAGCCATACAGCTGGAATGTTGCTGAGTGCAGCATAAAAGTAAACTCACTCACTCACTCACTCGCTCACCCCCTCATGTGCCCAGACACAGGGAGAGGAAGGAGTCACAAGCAGTCCTCTCAAGCACTGGAATTTGTCCTTGCTTAGTTGTATCCTTTATCCAGATCAGTGGTTTTAACCCCAGATAAAGTAGTTCTGATTGTGTTTCTCTGTCCACATCAGCACATATGCTGTAGGTTTCAGCAAAGTGGTAACTCAAAGACCTCGTGCACCAGGCGAATCAAGAATCATGTTAACGTGGACCATTTGAACCATTACCCCGACAGACAACCCCTTCCATTCTGATCCAGATTTGTTGATCTAGAGTTGTATATTGGCAACGGTTAGTTTTCACGTTTATAGCAACATAGTAGTCGTCTCAGGGGGAAACGCATTGTCTGATATTCCATTTTCGAAATGTTTACTATTTGCTTTTTCAAAAGAGAATTGGGAAAGTAACTGAGCAAGACTTTGTCATGACTTATAGTGCCATGGGCCAAGGACGAAGCATACATTTTCCATGGGAGATGTGGGTGTGGTTCCGGGTGACAGTACCCCCAAGCAGCCCATGCTTGTCGCAAGAGGACACGTAATGAATCGGGTGGTCAGGCTCGGTGACTTAATCGTTTTGTCATGAGCCCCAACAGCCTTGCTATATCAACAACCGCCTGATTCTCTGGTGCGGCATAACGCAACACCAAACGAAAGAGAAGACCATAATGAAAACTTCCATAAGATACTGCAACTCTTCTTTATTTGTAAATAACGATCAACGCATGCTGACTTGCCCCTTTGCTGTGTCAGGGACAAGAAGACGATTTTCAAACAGGTGCTCTATGGCTGGTATTGGGGTACAGAGAGTTCCCCACAAAGGTAACCACCACCTCCACCACACCTCTTGTGTTTGACAAATTCGAGTCGATAATGGAACACTTAATCAACACAAGAACTGGTGGTTGGAGTGAGGGTCGGCCATGTTGTGATCAACCACGAGAGCTTTCATTTACTCGGTCTTCTAAAAGGAATGATGGGTTGGATGAACTCCTATACATTGTATTACTGTTCGGATGGAGGTTTGGGTCAACATACAACATGATCTCGTGGTCAGGAGCACCAGCCGTATCTGATTGGACATGTCCTGTAGGCTTTCGGCCCACTTTTCAGAGACACACTCTCTGACACCCATTCCGGGTTGATAACGAAGTCGCGATCACGTTGATACTTCTTACTGTGATAGAAGTGACACTTGGTGTCGGTGACGAAGTCGTCGTTGATGTCCCAGTCGTATAGGTTGGCAGGTCCGGAGTCAGATGTCACGACAAATACTGGACGTCTCGGAACCACCCTAAACACAATGAAAATACAAAATCAGGAAGACAATAAAAACGATAAGAGTTGGGGCCAGTATGTTCAATACATATCTGCTTGAAACAGGAAGAAGGTGAATAGCTAATATTGATGTCAAGTTCCACTGCATGTTCTGATTAACGACTGTACCAAATCGAACAGTCGAGTGATGAGGACTCTGTTGTACAGGAATGAGAGATATAGTGCAGCTGTATACAGAACACTTCGTATCGGCACTAACCACTGCCTTTCAGTTTACTGTATCAACCTGGTCAAAAATGGCATTTGGAGTTGTGTCCTTTAGTCCTGCCCGATGCGCTGATCTTCGGTTGAATCTCACATTAGCGCCGATTACTGTTTTGATTTTGCACCATCAGGTAAGTTATAATATGACCAGAAATTAATGACATTATAGGAAGATTTAATTTGATTTCTACCTAAATAAACAATGTTTGGGGACTTTGAAGGAAAGTGGTTTCATTCAAGAAAAATCTAGACAAATATTGCTTGAATAATGAAAGAAGAGTGGTCCGATATTGGGACAGCATTGACCAAGACATTTTCTAATTTCTTTGATTAGTAGTATGCCCCGCCGCATTGAAGCCTGCATTGCTGCCCATAGTGACTTGACAAAATACTAACTGTTCACCTGTCTTTGAATCTGGAGTTATGTTCTGCTAATATTCACATTTAATACGTGAGTAATGAGTGAAAAAATAAATAAATTACAATCTTTAAATTCTCCATAATTACTGATTGTACTGTACAACTTCTTTAATGTAATATGAGCGACATTTCGGTGTAGCTTCTAACACAGTTATCAAGCAAATGATGTTTTTTTTTATATTTGCACAATTAATGAGGTTGATGTACAAGATTGGAGGATGTTTACACAAGAAGGCAATTGTTACAGAACTCTCCTCGTTGTCAACCTGTGGGAGTTTAGGTCGTGAGAGGCGACCAAATAGATCAGGAGGTCAGACTCTGCGACACGGTTGATTGGTTGTCATCTTACAACGATGGCGTGAATCATTGCATACAATATTAATTAGTAGAGTCCAGAGACAATCATTTCCAGTTCGCCGACATATAGCAAAATACTGCTTAGTGTGGCCAAACAAAGAAAACAACCTCTACCACTTATCTCTTTCCTTCCACAGTTACTTGACGCGACCCAGGGCATAGTACTTCCCAGTGGCGTTAAGTGCCACTCTCTCTTTACCTCCCTCACTCGTTCCCTCCTTCATTCACTCCAGTTATATACCTAAGTGACGTACTTTTTGACCTGGTTTTCCCAATGGCTAATGTCAACTCTTGTAAACTTCCTGTCGTCGGTCATTTCATCAAACAGGTGCGGTATGGGCACCGACGTCCGAGTCAAGGCGTCAAACCCTCCCCGCCTTCTGGAGCTGGTGGGCACGTGGTCAATGATGGCTGTCCGGACAGGCTGGGCAGACCTGACCATGTCTCTAGGGTTACGTGATGGAGAGCCCAGGTCCACGTCTATTATCCTGTTGGGTGGGTAACATGATGACACTCGCGTCAGACGTCCATTGGATAGTCTGGATTCTATTAGAAGCAAAAGATGACATATATATACAGATAAAATCTGGTTCAGAAGTTCCTCAAGGAGCTTTACATGAGATAAACTAAGCATTTCAAGTAGATCAGAGATGGTAAGAGCCTGTCATCACATGTGTTTGACTCCGTTGGCTTGAAAAGTATCGATGTTGGTAATAGTCCAAGGCCAAATGCTAGAAAAGTCCCTATCTTTAGCATCTCTGGCAGCAGTAGAAGTGTTATCCAGTATTTAGTATGACACCTCCCACCCTCCAGAAATTCTTGTTGATATGGAACTAGCCACAGAATGTATCAGGTTACTAAAAAAACAAGGTTTACCTCACTGTTGAAACAGTGTACACATGCACATAGGCCAATTACATGATATGAACCACATGGTCTATTGGACGGTGTCAAGCGCTGGTGTTAAACATGGTCAAGATTTGCAGTATGGGTGATAAGGCCGGGTGTATCTTGTTGCCTTATTTTGACGCTCTCTCTACATTTGACCTAGGAGTAGTAATATATATTTTGTGTCCTTTCTATGTCAGCGTAATGCCGTCGTCGGTGGGTTTCGCGAAAGGTGAGGTGAGGTGAGGTGAAATCGGGTTGAACGTCGTGCTTGAGCATATTTCGCTCATATGGCGACGTGCATGCGTGTGTATGTGTATGTGCGGCTGCTTGTACTAGCCCAGACTGAAGCTGGTTTTAAAGTGCTAGCCCACTGAGATACCATGCCACAGTGAAGCATGAATACCCCACTCAGACACATTATACTGACTCCGAGCCGACCAGTCCTTGTTGTACCCATTAATGCCGAGCGCCAGGCAGGGATCAACAAATACCATATTTTAACGTCTTTTGGTATGACGCGGTCGGGGATCGAACCCGCGACCTTCCGCTCTCCGGGCGGACGCTCTAACCAGTACACCACGGAGGTGGTCGTTTCGCGAAAGAGCTAAACCTTTGCTACGGTCTACGGGGCATTACACCGTTCGTCATACTGTAAAATGACACTGCGTGATATTGGAAATACTGCCGAAAGTGGCGTTTACCCAACTCATTCACTCACTCCCAGAGTGAGACTCACCTGCCCGGTCTACCAATGCCTGTGTGACGGTCTGGGCACTGACGTCCTGGTCCGACCCAACATTTGGGTACATGGAGGCATCGGCAGCTGTCTTGGGCTGAAACAAAGTCGCAGTTCAACACAGCTGGGTTTAGGGAACGGAAACTTATATATGAAACAAGTACCTCTTATGTATAACACATGCCTCTATTCTGGCTTTAAACGTCAGGATACGGATGTAGGTTAGCCCGGATGGTGTATTTTCAGTAAATCTCACTCAGCATTGTGATCATTGTTCCATTGTTCATGTTTGCGATGAGTTTCATATCAAGGTGACCAGTGAAGATCCGGGTTGGAATTAGTCTTCGGCAACCCATGTTTGTCGTAAGAGGCGACAGACGGAATTGGTTGGTCAGGCTCCCTGACTTGGTTGACACATGTTATCGTATCCCAATTGCGTAGAACGATGCTAATGCTGTTGATCGCTGGATTGTTTGGTCCAGACTTGAATATTTACAGACCGCCGCCATATAGCTGGAATATTGCTAAGTGCGGCGTTAAACAACATCCAAACCAAACCCAACCATTTCAACGCACTGTTGCAAATACTTGACGTCACTTATTGTTTATGACGCTTTTTGTACGGATTGGTTTTTTTTAAAGCGTTTATGGGGGTTTAAACTCAATGCCTCCACGTATACGGTGTAAATCTATGCTATGAGCATACCTAGTGTGGAGTTTGGCGCTATATAAATGGGCATATTATTATTATTATTAAATCCACAAGGTAAGGGCATTACATTAAATTCACTGGAGACAGATCATCCGTAATTCTGGACAAATCTACAATTAATGAACGCAAAAAATCAATGATTTTCTTCAATCTAACATTGAAATTCAAATCGATAACAGGCTTAAGGCTTCTGGGCGTGTGCAGTGCAACATATGGTAAGCCTGGGGACCCTCGGTTCGTGTCTTGGGTCACCTGGACTCGGGGATAGATAGAGCCAGGGAAGTCCATGAGCACAGATACACACAGCGGGATGATTTCTGATTGTGACCTTGCCGATACCGTAAATATGATCAGTCTGTGAAAGTAAAATTTAAAAAGTACATTCTTGGCACAAGTTACAGTTGATAAATAAGTACATTATTGATACAAAATACAGTTGATAAATAAGTAGATTATCGACAAAAATTACAGTTGAAAATTAGGAGATTCTTGACACAAGTTACAGCTGATAAATATTAATAGATTATTGACACAAGTTACAGTTGATAGATAAGTAGATTCTTGACACAAGTTACAGCTGATAATATTAATAGATTATTGACACAAGTTACAGTTGATAGATAAGTAGATTCTTGAGACAAGTTACAGCTGATAAATATTTAAAGATTATTGACACAAGTTACAGTTGATATATATATGTAAGTAGATTCTTGACACAAGTTACAGCTGATAAATACATGTAAGTAGATTCTAGACACTAGTTATACAGTTGATGAATAAGTAGATTCTAGACACTAGTTATACAGTTGATGAATAAGTAGATTATTGACACAAGTTACAGCTGATAAATAAGTAGATTATTGACACAAGTTACAGTTGATAAATAAGTAGATTATTGACACAAGTTACAGTTGATAAATAAGTAGATTCTAGACACTAGTTACAGCTGATGAATAAGTAGATTATTGACACAAGTTACAGTTGATAAATAAGTAGATTCTTGACACAACTTACAGTTGATGAATAAGTAGATTATTGACGCAAGTTACAGTTGATGAATAAGTAGATTATTGACACAAGTTACAGTTGATAAATAAGTAGATTCTTGACACAACTTACAGCTGATGAATAAGTAGATTATTGACACAAGTTACAGCTGATGAATAAGTAGATTATTGACACAAGTTACAGTTGATAAATAAGTAGATTATTGACACAAGTTACAGCTGATGAATAAGTAGATTATTGACACAAGTTACAGTTTATAAATAAGTAGATTATTGACACAAGTTACAGTTGATAAATACATGTAATTAAATTGTTGACACTAGTTATACAGTTGATGAATAAGTAGATTATTGACACAGGTTACAGTTGATAGATACGTTTGCATAGTTTCACGGAACAGAGAAAGCAAGCACAGCGGAATAATGATAGTTTTATATTGAAGGTAATGGGGCATTAAGTACTGCGCGTTCAGAAATATTTCAGCATAGATAATAAAGACGAATGTATTACAACGTACTTGTTTGTAAACTTGAATGTTGATGACAAAAATCCTTGACCCTTTTGATGCCTTAGAGCACTGAAGTATGTTTTTAAAAACAAGTGGGCCATAAGATAGAGACATCAAACGAACACAAAGTTCTTTAGAGAAGTCGGTTCAGTCGAGTACTTGAGCGTTTATGCATCAAAGTTAGTGTGTATTAAATATGACCTCCACATCATATGGCGTATGGAGAGCTTGAAGGCTAATGTTTGTGTATTGGTCTACAACACAGTCAGCCATATTCCAGCTATACGACGGCGGTGTGTAAACAATCTGAACCAGACAGTCAAATGATTGATATCACGAACAACATTCCACGCCGTCAGGATACGGAGACAAACTAGACGCCGAGTCGGACCCTTCCATCAGTCAGTCGCCTCTGACCACCAGCATAGCATACCCCTCAAAATAACATGATGTTATAGTGACAAAGCAGCTTTACCAAAATCAAACATATTTTCATTTTCTTCTTTTTCTTCGTATCCGAAATACCTAGTCAAATGTCCTATCCTGTTTTTGTTAACATTTAAGTAAGAGCTGTATTCATGCAATTATAGGAGACATCTCTGCTAATTTACATCCGGGTATGTTGTGGTCGTTGTAGATCTACATCGACCTTCTGTGTTGTGTCGTGTTGTACAAAGCACACACCTGTGACGCCGACACGTGCATTTCATGTGCCGCCTGTGCACACTACTATCCCAGATGTCGGGCCACGCTATTGTTGAACACACCGGCTGTGTCACAGTTCACACAACAAATATCCACCAGCTTCTATTCACCAGGTCATAAAACAGCATGCATTAATTTGATGGAAATAATGTTTCCCCACGCAACGTCATTTAAATTCAATAGGGAAGGAGTATTTTAATGGAGCCTTTATATATGAATCCCACACACCTGCCAACGGTTTACCAATTCTGTGAAGGTATGGTGCGACCAAACCACGGTCTATGGTGGAGTCAGCATTTCGGATCAGAGTTTATCCAAGTAGTCATGCCTGTCGTTTAGGAGCAGACTACTGACTGACTGAATTTGGTTTTACGCCGCTTTTAGCAATATTCCAGCAACATCACGGCGGGGGACACCAGAAATGGGCTTCACACATTGTGCCCATGTGGGGATTCGAACCCGGGTCTTCGGCGTGACGAGCCAACGCTTTAACCATTAGGCTACCCCACCGCCCCTAAACTACCAACAGAGCAGACTAAAATGAGAAGTCGTGTCAACAGCTTCACTGCTATCATCCGCTACAATGGTTACCAAACTGATCGCAGTGATATTCTGTAAACGGATAAGGACGAATGTGATATTCGAACGCAGAGTCTGCGGATCCTGGTACGGCTAAAGAGGACAGCCGTCCGGCAGTATTGTCAGCTGACATCGTGACACAGATTTTATGTTGAAAAATATTATCCTACTGTCAGTGTGATGGGTGTTTATATTTATCGAAATAAGGTCAGAGCAATACTGCCAGATACATGAATTGTTCCAACATACCGCCACATTGCTGGAAAATTTCTGAGTGCGGCGTTAAACAACAAACCAATGTACCAACATATCGCCATATTGCTGGAATATTGTCACTGCGGCGTAAAACAATTGGACAAACCAATGTTTCAACACATATTTGAGTGTGGTCGGTTGAACATCCTTATTCAGGCAAATACACATATTCAAGCCTACTCGGCGAGCAGTCACAACTTGAAAAAAGTTTGAATCCCATAGAAAAGGTGAACATAGTATCAGCTGTTTACGTAGTCAACTTTTCAAATAGACGGTTGCTTGGGAACAAACATGACGTCATGAAAAATAACCGTTGTCAACTATTAGGTACAAATTTAAAATAGGAATATAAAAATAGCCAACGACTACGAGTTTCTGTGTGAGCTCAGATCCGCCGCCAACAGACAAGGACGCGAGTGTCGTCACTCGTCAAACAGGTCTTGGTGGCTAGCTGGTGCTGAATCAACTCGCTAAGCCTGTCATTAAAAGTAGGATAATATTCACCCCAAAAGAATTAAAAATACCTCAAACATTCTTGTACAACGGCAACTACTTGTCCTGACTCTCCGCGGACCCGAACTACAGGTACGAGAGTATGTACTGAGGGAAGCAGGTCCTTCCTTGGATACATCAGTAAAGTGGTAGTTCTTACACTTGTGTCCGGTTATATACCGTAACATACACTAAGGAATTAAAGGGCAAATCGTATATTGTTACCCGATATCCTCTGATTGTATAGTTCTGACCTAACATGGGTCTAAGTGACATGCACGGCAGAGCAGCAAGACAAGCGATTCGTCGGAGCGGCTAACAGGCGGGAGATTAGGGCCATGGTTTATTCAGTGGGCATTGTCAGGCCGGTAATTCCTGGATACCGGCACCACTGGGGAACTCTCACCACTGTCCGTGTGTAATAACCCTCGTGCAATCACAATCTTACTTCCCGTAAATAACGAGTGGTGTTAATATATACTTGTGTGTGTGACGCACTGGGCGACCTATAGTGTAGTTAAGGGTATTGTTATAACATACATTGGAAATAGAACTATTGTAAAATACCACTACTAAGTACTACTATTCCTACTACTACTACTGCTGCTGCTGCTGCTGCTGCTACTACTACTGCTGCTGCTGCTACTACTACTACTACTGCTGCTGCTACTACTACTGCTGTTGCTACTACTACAACTACTGTTGCTGCTGCTGCTACAACTACTGCTGCTACTGCTACTACTGCTGCTACTACTGCCACTACTTCTGAAGTGTTCAAGTTATTTCAGTTCAGTTCAGCGTCGCAAACAATGTGTGCCCCATGATATGTTTCCTCACAAGTGTGACTATTGTCTCACTCCTCACATCTACTTCCGTGACAGTAAGTTGACAGACGAATAGGCGCCGTGTAGCGTTGCAACCGCTCGTAGAGAAGCAAATAGCAAAGATGAAATGAAAGGTAACCATGTAAAAACAAGGAGATTCATTGTCCTGCATAAAGCGGTTTTAAAACCCGGCTCTATATACTGCACGAGGTTTGATCAACAGGAGACATACCTGCACGACGTTCTATACAACACGAGGTTTGATCAACAGGAGACGCACATGCACGGCGTTATATACTACCCGAGGTTTGATCAACAGGAGACGCACCTGCACGGCGTTGTATATACTACCCCGGGTTTGATCAACAGGAGACGCACCTGCACGGCGTTGTATATACTACCCGAGGTTTGATCAACAGGAGACGCACCTGCACGGCGTTGTATATACTACCCGAGGTTTGATCAACAGGAGACGCACCTGCACGGCGTTATATACTACACGAGGTTTGATCAACAGGAGACGCACCTGCACGGCGTTGTATACTACACGAGGCTTGATCAACAGGAGCCGCACCTGCACGGCGTTATATACTACACGAGGCTTGATCAACAGGAGCCGCACCTGCACGGCGTTGTATACTACACGAGGTTTGATGTGGTGGTATTGGGTTTTACGTCGTGCTTGAGAATATTTCGCTCATATGACGACGTGCATGCGTGTGTGTGTATGTGCGGCTGCTTGTACTAGCCCAGACTGAAGCTGGTTTTATAGTGCTAGCTCACTGAGATACCATGCCGTAGTGAAGCATGAATACCCCACTCAGACACATTATACTGACTCCGAGCCGACCAGTCCTTGTTGTACCCATTAATGCCGAGCGCCAGGCAGGGACCAACAAGTACCATATTTTAGCGTCTTTTGGTATGACGCGGTCGGGGATCGAACCCGCGACCTTCCGCACTCCGGGCGGACGCTCTAACCACTACACCACGGAGGCGGTACACGAGGTTTGATCAACAGGAGACGCACCTGCACGGCTATATATTCTACACGAGGTTTACACCCGTTACCCACGCAGCAGTATTGCCTGGGCTAGTTGCTGAGAGAGAGAGAGAGAGAGAGAGAGAGAGAGAGAGAGAGAGAGAGAGAGAGAGAGAGAGAGAGAGAGAGAGAGAGAGAGAGAGAGAGAGAGAGAGAGAGAGAGAGAGAGAGAGAGAGAGAGAGAGAGAGAGAGAGAAAATAAATGTGTGTGTATCGATTGTCTATGTATGACGTTATATTACTGGCTTATTGTAAGAGATACCCATGTGAATACGTTCCTGCTAATTAACCTGATGTTCAATCAATGTTTTCCAATACTCATCGACTACATACATACATACATGCATACATACATGCATACATACGCACGCACACACGCACATACATACATATATACATTCATACTAATATTTGTATTCAAAAGCACTTTGTTTTCCCTCGATAATTGCATGTCAATCTCAACGGCACATCGTATTTTCAATCTCAACTGCCCGGGAACATACACTCTTGTAGCTACTAGGCGCACCAAGTTAATATGACTTTTCCATCCTTACAAGGTACCCATTCACATAGGTGCCTGGGACACATAGTCATAGTACTTTGTCCAAGTTTACTGCACCTTGCTGTACCCGCAACTATAGGTGTTTGCACGTATTCATGTGGCCACCCTCTTGTCATTTACCAACCGAGTCTTTTAAGTGGACAGGGTTGTGTACTGTACACTAGGGGTTGTGACAACACGGAAAGAGTCTTCACACAATGTTGACTCCAAGGTTTGTTACACCCGGTCCCAGGTGGGACCTCAAGCTTCGTGTACTCCGAGTACAGCGTATAATGTCTCCATATATATTAAAACTCATGCACTAGACATTTCATTAAAATGAATATCAAGACTACCTAAAGAAAATGTTTTTCACAATTATTTATATCATTCTGTGCGTGCAGCTAGCGTGGTGACATGTCATCCTAAACTGTCCCCATCCGTTTCCAGAGCTGTATCACCAACCATCTCTTTATTGGAAGACACGTTAAACATGGACACTTCTGAAAGGTCGCAAGATTATATACCGCTGAGAAGGGTAGAAACAATGAATAGTTACATTATCCCTATAACGAATGTAACGTTTACTGTTTACACGTTTCCAGATGAAGCGAATGTAGGTCCGTAAAACACCTTATGCTGATTGCCACAACGATCGTATATTCTGATCACCTACACCTGAAAGAAAAACTGACTTAAACAAATGTTAATACTCTTTTTAATCACATTATAAAACGAACTCAACATACAAGTACTCAGTCAATCAAAACTGAAAAACAAATTCGGTGTACAAAACGCAGTGGCGTTGACGTATACGTTTCTCTATGTACTGTAACACAGAAATACACAAATTCAGCAAGTAGACATTGACGCGAGACCTGTCAGGTCCATATCCACTATTCATACTGAAAAATAAATTATACTTTATGAGACGGAAGAATTATCTACATATCGTTTTAGGTGCTAAACGGTTTACTAACAGTAAGCTAATCAACAGTTTTTTATTCAACACAGATTTGACTTTTCAAAGTTTTATTTTGAATTAGCATCCATCATTCTCAATCCAACATAACAGGTTCGAGTGCTCTCCCTTGTATCTTTACATTCCGCATTGCAGGTATGGCGACAGACAGGTCAAAACGAGCTCAACCATGTTGCGTTTGGGCGACATGAACCACCGGACTGTAAACCGGTATTGAAGTTTGTACCCGGTAACCATGTGGAATATATTCCCCGGGTGTAAAGAACCGATGTTCGATAACACTGCTTAAATTTGCTGATCGTGTGTTGGAATCCCAGAATCGCGGTCATTCGGTCTGCTTAGACAGTGCACGTGTTCGGGTTTCTCAGAGGAAGTAAACATAATTTAAGCGAACTGAGTCGTAATGCCTCGTATGTTAACCGGAAATACTATTAATATCTCTCCACACATCACACACACACACACACACACACACACACACACACACACACACAACACACACACACACACAAAATCTTACATTCTTAGGGGACCGTTCGTAACACACTCTGATTTCCAAACGCTGCATGTACAAAATCTAGCTCAAAGATTAAGTGATTTTTGTCTTTCATATTTAAGACTCTAAGGGTGAACTGGAAATGCGTTAGTTCAAATAAACACTAATATGTTCATGGCTCCAAAACGCAGCCCCACTGATTCCATCCCGGCGACGTAAAGTGCCGAGGGTTACCGAAGGTGCAGGTACCTCCGACCTCGCTAAGGTTGGTCTGACAAGTAGAACAGGCCGATTCAAATGTTGACATTACGAAGAGTGGAAATCGCTGTATGTGGGAGTATATGTGAAGAGCTTACATTGTGCTGTGGGATGGTATCAGGGAGCGGTTGGATTTCTGTGGCCCATATCCAGCGAAATGACAGGCAGACATTAGTGTGTTGGTTGTGTAAATCTAACCTGTGAGAGACATTGAACAGAGGACATCTGAGCTCCAAATCTAGTGATTTTTAAGTGCAAATGTGTCCGAAATGACAACACGTCGGCCTGGGGAGTTGTTTCGTACTACACCTGACACAGGTATGTATATTAGCGGCGACTTTGATCTTTTCCTGCGGCTAAATGAGCCGATGAACCCCCTGTGTTAGGCGCATGCCCGCATACATCGAGAGCAGAGAACTTTGCCATGTATCGATCTTGTTATATCATAATCCCGTATTGATAGATTGGATACAAACTGTAACATCCTAACTGAGATGTATTGTATACAGATACGACAGGTTGACCCGGTTTATTATGGAAGAATACGCAACAAATCTTTAATTGCTTTCTGATCGCCAATGACCGTTCCTGGCCATGCTTAATCAGCCAGAAAGAAAGGTTATTTTCACAAACACATAAAAGCGACAGAACAACAGGTGTAACTTTTAATGCATATTTTTGTTGACAAAGGCAATCTTTATCAATCAGATGGTACGAGATGAAGATATTTCAAATCAATGTAATCACTAGGTTTCCAGGTCAATGGTTCTGATGGTGTGAACTATGAATGAAGTCTCCCATGCATAACCAAGGCGAGACTTCATGACTTAACCGAAAGCCAGAAAGTGCCCTCTCCTTAGACTGTGGACATAAGAGTTACAAATGAACATATGTGTGTAAGCATTTCAAGATCTTGCTTACATCATGTTCTACAAATATTCTTCGATAATTCAAAGCCCTTTCTGGCTTGTTATAGATGTGAGTGATGTCAGCTTTTGAAATAGCTGTGTGCTAGATATCCAGTGGCCATTCATACCTTGAACTAGCTATCAGTCTGTTATCTATCCTGAAAAATACTTCTCTCACAACAAAGACATGACAGTATGATGTTGTTATTTTAATGGTTCATAAAACAATGATGAGTTGTCTATACACTGCTTAAACCATTTCACGTAAGACTGACACAACCAATTAGCTGCTACAGATCAATGATATTTGTCTCCACACTCCCTGTGACACAGACCTGATCATTACTGTCTCAATAATCACACAACTTTGTGGCTTTCGTAGAAACATTTTATGTTGCAGATATATTGATTTTGGTATGGTTTTATAAATTTTTATACCATTTTTATAAATGGTAAAAAATTGCTTTTTGCTTTGTGTACATACAGTGTCTGCTGATGCTATTTACATACACAAGATAAGAATATTCATAAAATAAATTCTACATGCTCTGAAACATCTGTTGAATTATCAATAATCTCACTTAAATCAGATCTAATTGCTCACTACTGCCCTCACAAATCACATCATGACAGGCTTTCATCGGACCAATCAAATTGTTAACAGAAACCAAACTTGTGAAACCTCAAAGATCATGGTAATCCAGGACATTCCAAAGTATAGTTACGAGCTTTACGACTGGATCTGTCTCCCAGACAGGGACACGACTTGTTAGTATTTCAAACTGACGAGTGACTTTCAGTAACCAGTGGGAAATACTGCCACACAATCACGGCCATGGCTAGTTCAGAATGTTCTATAGTTCAGATTTTGAAGAGAGAATATTTTATAAAGCATAGTCTGAAATGAAAGTAAACTAGAGCAGTAAACAAAGTTCTAGACAAGTGCATTCTGGTTGTCTAACTTTGTCTTCTTATTAGTTAATTTTATAGGTCAAAGTTTGTGAATGGATTTTGCCTGTAATGGGATGTCGACAGAATTTGGTGTTGCAAAGGCCAGCTTCTGTAAACTCATTGTGGTTATGTCTTTGTCAGTTACAGAGTCATAGTTGGCTCTACAGGCATGGAGCTGTATGTTTGCATGTATCTCCACAAATTCTAATGCATATAAAGTTGAAGGTGTCCATGAAAGGTCAATGTCATCCGTGAGGTTAATGTGAATAATGGTTTTATCATTTATTGCCAGTTAAATTTGCTCTTGTACAATCCTGAGACTTGGGTAATTGATCGGTTTGAAGACTTTCTTCTGCATCAGTGTGATGTGTTGAAGTACATGATGGTACTTTAAGACTTGAAGCTTTGAGGAAATGGTTGTGATGTGGCTGCTTCTGTTCTTGTAGGTTATTATAAAACACCTCCAGTCCTGCACAATGGCAGAAATTCTGCTTGTGTTCAAGTTGAAGTTGGAGATGGTATTTCACACCTCAGGGAAGTTATTCCTCTCAAATGTACCATAAGCAGTGTATGAAATAAGCCAGAACCCAAACCAGACATCAGGGCTGGTAACTTCAAAATGTTACCAGCCCAAAATGGATTTAACCAGACCAAATATGGTGAATTTACTCAGATGTATGGAACATCTAAAAATTACCACACCACCAGGCTGGCAAGCTGTAAATTTAGACCGTCCGTCAGAAATCTAGACCTTCTCAGGCGGTCGGGCGGGCCTTATTTCATACACTGCCATAAGGCAGTCAAAATGATGTTGATGACATTCCACTATGGCCAGTGTAATAAGCAGGTGTAATTCAGAAATGTTAGTCCCTTCATTAAGAGTGATCATGGTGACAAGGTATAACAAGAAGGATGTATTTCTAAGCGTATCCTTCAGGCACTTGCTGCGTCATACCAAAAGACGTTAAAATATGGTACTTGTTGGTCCCTGCCTGGCGCTCGGCATTAATGGGTACAACAAGGACTGGTCGGCTCGGAGTCAGTATAATGTGTGTATAATAATTTATGTGAGCTAGCACTATAAAACTAGCTTAAGTCTGGGCTAGTACAGGCAGCCACACATACACATGCATGCACATCGTCATATGAGCGAAATATTCTTAAGTACGACGTTAAACTCCATTTTACCTCACCTCACCTCACCTCAGGCACTTGCTCCTCAGCACTAACAGACACTGTTCCTACATTCCTACAGCACCACAAGGGTAAGTGTAATATTGCTGTGAGAGTACATGTCACTAGTCACACTGATATTCATGCCTGGGGCTTTTAGCATGTTTAATAGATGCTGTCACCCAGACTGACTGTTCAAATGGTTTGGGGCTGTAACAACTCTCGTTATGAAATACACAATGCCATTTTAGAAAGTGGTCAAATGTAACATATGTTATATTTGGGATTACACTTTCTTAGTAAAGTACAGATTCTAGTACTTTTTTGGGTTGAGTCCCATTCAGGATTCGAACCCACACCCTCAGAGTCAGGCACCTAATCGCCAGCACACAAAGTCAGACGCCTAGACCACTCAGCCACCGTGGCTTCCACAAAAATGGTGGTGGGGTTGAATTATTTGGATGGACACTTTATTGGGATTGTGTCTTGTAACTTGTGTAGCTAATTCTGTGTAAAGTGTGTACACATTTCATGGTTATGTTGCTCTCTGCTGGTTTTCTTTCAAATTATGACAATTATGCTTAAACCTCAGTGTTGTTTGCCCAGTGGGTGTCTGGCTTAATACTACTACTTTGTGGTGTGTTTAGTATTTTAGCGGGAAATATGATACAATACACAATAGCTTATGTAATCCATTATCCAGTGTAAATAGGATATCACACAGCAATGAGAACTGTGTATGTACATGTGTATAGTTGTTGTACTGTGTTGCTGGAGGTGGCTTTTAATGTTTCACATTGTGGTAACAGAGGAAATAGGATTGAACAAGGCTGTCAGCTGGATTTTCCTTCCATATCTTATGGGGACAGTTGGTTGTGGTCAGGGCAAGCTTATTCCTGTGCCTTGCATCTGGTTTGTTTTCAAAATGTTAGTAATATCCGTAGCAAGTACTGTTCTTTATTCACCTCAACTTTCATGTCAGTGAAGGTGCCCCACATGTCCTGCCCCTATATTCCCCCTGCAACTGAGTGTTGGTCAAGATTTACCAATGGCTCCTATCTGCCGCAGCATTTGAACAAATCAATCTGTCCATGTCAGAATCTGTTGTGCAGACATCGTGTTGGTGTGAGTAACTGCACCTTGCCATGTTATGTAACTGCTTCAACAGAACTGCTGGTCCTCCAGTGTCTTAATTCTAAAATTGTAGTCCTCTGGAAATCATGTCTCCCAGGGAATGATGTTGCCATGGAGATAGTGATTCATTTAGTCCCAGTGTGTTCCTATAGGTCATTATTTATTTCCTAGGAAGTCCACATTGAGAATTGATCCCATCAGACTGGGAATCTTAGTTTAGATTCCTGTGAGGTCCGCTGTATGAACAGGAACAAGGAGACCTGCCAACTGTCATGTCACTGTGGACCCACAAAGGTCCAGGTTAGAATTGATCTTCAGCAACCCATGCTTCTCGTAAGATGCAACTAACGGGATTGGGTGGTCAGGCTCGCTGACTGGATTGACACGTCATTGTATCCCAATTGCGTAAATCGATGTTCATGTTGTTAATCCCTGGATTGTCTGGTCCAGACTCGATTATTTACAGACCGCTGCCATATAGCTGGCATATTGCTGAGTGCGGCATAAAACTAAACTCACTCACTCACTCACTAATGTCACTGTGACCATCAACCCACTCACCACCCTTTAATCAGACAGTTTGTCTTAAGTACAATTGTTAAATATGCATATTTCATTGTGTCAGATATTGTGTATATATATATATATACACACACACACTCATATATATACAGGAACCATGGGTCATTGTTTCTAGTCCAGTGTTTCCCTGCTGTCATCTGTAGCTCAGCCAGCACCTGTACATTTCAGTTTCATTTGTAAAATATGAAAAGATGTACAGCCAGTGTTTAATAAATGGAATTGTTTCAGCTAGCTATGCATCAGTCATTGGCTACAACTGATGATTTAGTCACTGGTAATTTACAAAAATGTGGCTGGACATTGATCCTTTCATAGTTGCCATCATTTTCTACCAACCCATTGTACCATCTCACACCGCGGTGTTCTAGTGCTGAACTATATTTGTTGCAGCCTGTATCGGATGACAACCGGACATACACACAAATTGATCCGAAACCCTGGAATTTCATGAAATGATGAGCGTATGTTTTGTAATGTGATCAAACTTCCCAGACATCAGTTTAGTATTGATTTCACACAGGATGTAGTCAACCATTACATTTGGCCTAAAGGCTGGAAACTCAGATAGCT